GTATGGTAGATGAATATTTGACAAGCCAAATATGCAACAGGTGTAAAAATAGAAATATGGACAATGTTGTAACTGAGAAGTCAAAACGAAGAGTACATACGATATTGAAGTGTAAACAAAACACTTGCAACATCGTATGGAATTGTGATATCATGGCTGCACACAATATCTTGGACATATTTCTATTCGCTGCAAGAAACAACAATCAGCGTCTTGATGTTTTCATGCGTCAAGGCACATCTAATGACCAACCTTTCGTATGACTGATATGACTCTCTCATACGTCCTTACAGTGTAAGTTGTATCAGTTTTTAAGTTTACGAATAAGATGTATTAACTGTGTATTTCTTAATTCTTCAGTAAAAAAAAACCATCACGACTTACCTTCAATCTACAAAAATACAAAAAGTTTTCAAGGTAAAAACATTTCATGTCTGAATTTAAAGTGCGAATTCTTCATTCCAAGGCATTTGAAAAGAAGTCTCATTTTTTTCTGACTTTAAAAATGAGGAGACAACATCCAGAGCTCAGTTTGCTTAGATTTTGACTGACACTGAGATGATATCTGGATCAATGATAAAATATCAAGATGTTAGTGATATCTTTTAAAATAAAAAAGATTGATTCAAAGAGTATTAATTCGTATTCATATTAATCAACATGAGAATGGAGCTTTTTGTTTCAACAACATCTTAACAATCCATGTAGATAAAATACAAAATTGATGTATCTTTGATCTTTGTTATCAGTTGGAACTGTGCAAGAGCAGGATCATCACGCTGTGTGTTTGTCTCTGAACACAGCGGACATTTGACTCATCATCACAAGCAGAGTGGTTAAACGCGACTTCTATTTTTGTGATCCTGCGTCTTCAAATTGGGAATAAAGTGTATGTTTCCTTTTAATAAGGTGGCTTATTTGCATAACACCAAGAGATGGACTGTGCTCTTGTTCAATCTATTTGTATCACTTGCTCTTTCCTCTTTCTTCCCTTTCTCTCTTTTTTGCCCTTGGTTTATAAAGCAAGCAATGATGAGTTCCATTTTATCTTATCTGCTGGAAAAATCTCATCAAGAAGAACCCAAGATTTATACAAGAGGAAAGAACTATTGCCTTGTTCATAAAAGATACTTTGAAACGAGTTGGTGTCCTGATTGTGGCCGTGGTAAGAGAAACATTTGTATATTATGCAAGTAAAAGTAATATTATTTTAGTGTCTTGAACTTTATTCATTTATCTGTTCTTATCTGTGTGTGTGATTTATCGTTATTTGCATGACTACTATCATCATTGTACATTTTATTGTTTATAAAATAAAGAGTGTATTTTTCATATGAAAAGAGAGAGAGAGAGATTTTTCTTTACCATATTGCTTTTCCACAAAATACGACTGTATAGTTATGTGCATACGTATCCATGGTTTCATCTTGTTCTTCTTCGTTGTCATGTATACTTTTTGCCAAGAACACGGGTGAAATTCCTAAAATGATCTTTTCATTTTGATCTTTTCCTATACATCGATACTGTGCCTTCACTTGACTTGATATGACTCTATCTCCTTTATTCAAAAATCGGATCAGCATTATATCTTCCTGTCCATGCATAGGTAAATTCAACTCTATAGCCATATCCACTATCTTTTCTACACGTTCTTTCATCTCTTTGCTCTCTTTATAGATATTCAAAAGTTCTTTGACAATATCTTCCACAAGCGCTGTCCTCACTTGGCTGATCTCTTTCGATAGGAAATTAGATTTCTTTGTCTGGGTGAGATCCTGTGTTGCCTTGGAACACTTTAGTCTTAGATCAGCAATCCATTCTGCATGATGCGCTCGAAGTAAGACCTGTTCAATAGATGAGAATGCTTCATTAATTTCACGATTGAGATGAATTTTTGTGAAATAAATACGATAGACAATGAATTCCATCAACAGTTTCTCCACCAATAATGCCACCAAGACCGAATCTATTTTATCCCCAGATAGCTTAAATAGCTCATTGAGCGACTCATTTTCATTTGGCCAGCGTTGAAGAAAATAACGATAAATAAGCATCGGTCCTTCCTCGATCTTTAGGGATGATTTTAATTGGAGTGGCAAATTGGATATTTTCCCACTCAACTTGGCAAGTTTGGCTTGAATTGTTGAATAATCATCATCAGTGACTTTAATAGACTTTGTCGATTGATATAGTTTTCCCTGTACTTCCTTTATTTCTGCGTTCACGTTTTGTAACTTTCTTCTTGTTGCTGTCAGTTTTTCCTTTTTTTCCGAAATCTTTTGCTCCATCTCTTTCATCTTTAAGCTCTTTAGTTTTAGCTGATTTTCTAATTCTTTCATCTTTATATCCATGACTTCAAAGCTCTTGACGAGCATTTGTTCATTTTCGACGTTCTTTGGCTTGGATTCGTTGGGTGCAGTACTATCATTATTATTCTTCGTATCCGCACGGTTTTCATCAACGATGGCAGTAGTGGAAAGCGTAGTGTTTTTGTCAAGCATATATTATTTCAATAAGAAAAAGAGAAAGAAAGAAAATGGATAAAAAAAAAAGTTGCAAAGCCAAGAGACATTAGTGCAACATTACAGTTGTACACTCTCATTTTAAGAGGCTGTGCCTGAAATAATAAAAACAAGCCTTCTTTTTCTTAAACCCACTATCTCTCCTCTTTATCCAAAGTTTTGTCGTAAATGCATATTGAATATAGCTTTACTTTATCTTCATGTAACTGAAATAAATGCTAGTGTAGTGAACACTTTGGATGCTTATGAAATTACAAGCCAAATAACAGTTAGTAATCTGTCAAGACGACAACTGTTCTATTTCATTTTTCAATAAAGGAACACTATTATTTATCGATAAAAAAAAAATAAGGGGAATAATGACTCTTTTTTCTCAAGAAAGAAAAAGAGAGAAAATTAATTTTTACACGATTCTTTTTATACTCTTTCAAGAACAACAGCAACACCCTTAAATAAAAAAAAAATAATTAGTAAAAAAAAGAAAAGAAATAACCACAACTGTTTATCTTTACCTGTCCACCACCAATACAAGCAGAGCCTACAGCATACTTGTTCTTTGTACGTTGAAGAGCATGAGATAAATGAGTCAAGATACGAGCACCTGAGGCACCAAGAGGATGACCAACAGCAATAGCACCACCGCTACAGTTTGTGATTTCTCTTTCCAGCTTGAGCTCCTTTTCACAAGCCAAATATTGTGCAGCAAAAGCTTCATTGATTTCAATCAAATCCATTTGCTTTAATTCTAAATTGCCACGCTTCAACGCGCCAGTAATAGCAGGGACTGGACCAATACCCATCAATGTCGGCTCAACGGCAGATGCTTGCCAGCTCACAACACGAGCAAGGGGATTCAAACCGTATTTTTCAACTGCTTCACCGCTAGCAAGAATCAAGGCTGCGGCACCATCGTTAATACCGGAAGCATTAGCTGCTGTCACCACACCGTCCTTCTTGAAGACAGGCTTTAATTTTGTCAAGTTCTCTAATTGTAAGCCAAAACGAGGATGTTCATCTTCAGTAACAAGTTCAGGACCCTTGCGTCCCTTGACTTCGACAGGAATAATCTCATCCTTAAATACTCCACCCTTGGCAGCTAATGAATATATGTTACTACTCTCCTGCTCTCCTCATCTATGTATTTTCTGCATTTACCCTTTTCATATCTATTTTGACTGGCAAGAGCAAACTCATCACATGCTTCTCTACTAATACCGTATTTCTCGGCTAAATTTTCAGCAGTGATACCCATTGGTGTAGGTTTGGGGTATTGATCGACCAATGCAGTCCAGAGGGAATCTTGAAGCTTAGGATCCTGTCCCAACTTGATGCCCCATCGAGAGCTTCCAGACAAAGTAAAAGGTGACAACGACATGTTTTCAGCACCACCAGCTAAAACGATCTCACTTTCGCCCAAAATGATTTCATGAGCAGCATTGACAACACTTTGAAGACCTGAACCACAAAGACGGTTGACGGTCAAGGCAGGGACTGTGACAGGCAGACCAGCGCGATGACCGATGTGACGTGCAACGTAGGCACCAGCAGGGTCGGTTTGAAGAACGTTACCAAAGATGACAGAGTCAATAGGAACCTCCTTTGGAAGTGCAGCAATAGCAGCTTTGGAGGCCAAACCACCCAATTCGGAAGCTATGTTATCTCATCAGTTTTTTGGTCTTTATGAGATTCGCAAGTGATAGTATACCTGTAAAATCCTTCAACTTTCCACCAAAGGTACCAAAAGGGGTTCTAAGTTTGATACAAATAGATGTAAGCAAATGACTAATAAAAAAGGTATCCAACTTACCTTTTAGCTGATACAATAAAGACTTGTCTAAGGGCCATTTCTATCGTTTAAAGAAAGAAAAGAAAGAGAAAAGGAGACATCGGTTATTCAAATAAATGCATTGTGTGTGAATCACCAATAAACATGTGAATCCTTGTCAGGTCAAAAGAAGCCAGTCAAAAAAAAAGGTTGGGTTTGTCAGCCATCGGAATTGAATATTTAGATTCAGTACAGCAAAGCAATCAGAGCTTTTTGAAAGGGGTAACTTTTTTTTTTTTTACTACGCAAGATATGTCAGTGATGTATAAAGATTATTCAGCAAATGAATGCTTTCAAATAAAACAGGACGATGCCCAGTCCTCTTTAGAAGCATCAAAAGAATAATAGAGAAAGAACATGTGTGTGATGTAGACAATGATCGCTTTTATATAAAGCAGGGTGTTTATTGAGCGCATCATTCGTCTTTGTGTTCTCTTTTTCTCTAATGCTAACTTCTAAGAGTAAGATCTGGATGTTAGAACTAGTGTACAGGCGATCCGGAACATCCTCAGTGTATACTGAATTACATACAAAGGAAAGAGAGGTTCGATGTTGCTATGAGGGGATCTTTTTATATCCAATAATCGTATACTTTGACAATCATTCATTTTAGGACGTTATTTAATTCGAATTGTTAAAAAAAAAAGTAATAATTTCGCGATATTTGTATAAAAGTACGGACTCATACTTATTGGGTGAATGCCTTTATGACCGTTTCTTATCGAGGGAGAGAGAGACTAGAATCTATTCCAGTACAGTCCACGTATGCTATGAGTTGCCATTTGTGGTGAACGCGGATATTCTTCATTTAGGGCCCGAAGCACCATACTTAGTGGGGTTTGCTTATAGTGCTGCGTAACAAACGCCATCATGGCGTAATTCCATAGCGCGCGGGAACAGAGGAAAGAAGCACAAAGCAATGCTTGAAAGAAGAATTCTCGGCGAAAGAACAGGTAGTACAACAAGGAGTGAACTTTACCAAAACGTTGAGCAAACCCCCCCTTTTTTTGCTCTCGAAACGTGCACTTATCTGGATTGCTGTAATGGGTTACGCTCAAGCCACGAAAGAGTGCCGAACGGATCTAAATAATTATAGAAACGTGACGGCCCTGCATAAAGCATATGTAGGACCAAACTAGATGACACTGGGCATTTACAGTCCACAACCCTTCACTAAGCTTAAATCTTCGTTGCTTGTGAGGCACCATTTAGAATACGCTTTTGTTAAATATAACATATCTACAATCTATATGTAGGGGTCACCCCTCTTATATGACATGTAACAATTTGCCACTTTTGCCCAGTAAAGCCAATATGTTCATAAAATGTACTGTTACACATCAAGCATATCCTTTCATCATCGTTGCTTAAGCTGTATGACTGATCAATAAGGTTAGTATTTACATCACTCATAGACTAAAGATGATAATAGCGTTTGTGTAGATGGAAATGGTACCATTAGATTTATAACAATGACTCAAAACAGGCAATGCTTCTCGACTAATTGATTTGTCATTATAGAACATGATTTATTATTATAAAAATGTATACATTAAAAAAAAAAGAGTAGATATATGCATAAATATGAACAATTACAAAAAGAAAGCAGAATATACACAATATTCACATTAAAAGTCTGTATCCAAATGAAGCTTTGCCTTCACCTTTGCCTTGTATTTTTCTGCTGCTGACAATAGAGGAGTATCATGTAAGCAAGCGATGGGTATTAATTCGTCATCTCCTTCTTCTTCTTCATCACTTAGTAAATTGATATTCTTGTTCAATCTTGTGGAAAGTTGTGAAATAGGTTCATCATCGTCGTCGTCTTCTTCTTCTGAGCTTGTGATAGAAGCAGCAGGTTTATAGGTACTACAGTGCTTCATGCTTCTCCAAGATGCTCTGGTAGCTAATGAGTCTGTAGGTGATAAAGGTGGCGGTGATACCGGAGGTGATTGCTCGAAATGACTTTGTTGTATCCAAGTGGAGATAGGTCTACGGCTTGATTGGTGCAATTCTTCCTTTGGGCGACGACTTGGGACCATCACGGATATTCTCCTTTGTCTCTGATCAACAGAAGATATACAAGGTGAATACGGATCAAAATAAGAAATAACAGAGCTTTCAATAGGCTGCGTGATGCCAGATCCAAGAGACGACAGCGGGAGTAATTGCACTTCTTCTTCCTTTTTACCTTTGAATAAGAATGATAATGGAAATGGCTTTCTTGACCTGTTTAATGTTGGCTTTCTGCTTTGAAAGTATTCAGACATAATGAAATGATCCTTGAGAAAAGGAAAAAATACTCCCCCTTTGATTTAAATACTTTCAATTTTGATGGGCTATCATTTTTCATTATCCGATATGTCACACAATAATAAAAATGGTAAACATGACGTTCAATGTGTAAATGCATTGAGCTTATTTCATCAATCCTTGTTTACATCATTTTCAAGCAGTGTTATATAAACTACATCTATTTTATCGTTCTATCTATTACGTCGCGCCTATGTTACTTTATTGCTTATGCCAGATGAATCATTTGTTGTTACTGCTACGATGAAAGAGCCAAGCTTTTGCTTAGCATAAGTTAGGATTACTAAACAACCGAGTGCAACATGATTGACATTAGTCAAAAATCGAGGCTTTGCTTCAGAACAACCCGCGGGTAATTCTGACCCCTAGTCTACGCCCAGAAACCCTCGGTAGTGCAATGCCGTGGTTCCTTTTTGTTTGTGATTATTATTTTTTGGTTTCAAAATATCCCTGGAAACGGATAAAATAGTGATTGCTGACGTTTAAATAGACATGATACAGTGAAGGTATTGTTCATTGTTTGCACTGACAATTAATGTATACCGTAAAGGTGTTCACAGCGCAGAAATGATACAACAATAAAACAAACAATCAACGTACAAAATAATAGAACGACTTCTTTAAGCTCATATGGACTTGCATTGACTTATTCATAATGAGAAGTTTGAACTATTGTAAGTTGAACTAACAGCATGGCGAGTTTGCATTTCAAAATGGGATAGATCCTGACAGTGTGGTATTAGTGAGTAGACTCAGGTACTCTAAATTTTAACGACGGCAAAGTCGGAGCCTGATCAGTGTGCGCTAAAGCGGCATTTTTCCTCAATCTTGATGTCGTTCGATCCTTTGCCATTTCTAATGAAGCCATAATCCCTTAAAGAAGTGCTCAGAACGTCATGTGGTCAAAAGTGTAATCAAGACGAATATTGTCTTCTATCAATAATTAAATCGTTACTCTCAGAGATTTCACCTTTTACTATGTCAACTACACCAAGTTTTTACGACTGTAAGTTGTACTGATAATCTGTGAGGTATTCAGTTTATCAAGCGTCGAGCATACCAATTGCTTAATCTGTAAGACCAAACCAAATAGAGCCCCTGAGTTACTACTGATGATTTCTTCTGTAGCGGGAAAGAACATTGAGGGAAGTCTTGTGTATACGACATAGGTATGTCAAAGGATTGTCGAGAAACATCTTTGAACTTTTGACTTCTTTGGTAATAGACCGTAATGGTCGATTTCTGCTTTTGTACAAAGTCGACTAACAACGAAATCGAAACATTTTGAAAACACGGTTCAAATACTATTAGATTGTCATTAATAAAAAGAAAATATAAAAACGTTATCTTGCACATTTCCAATATACCAACGATGAAGACTGGAGCGAGTAATCTGGACAACTTCCACCATACATTGGACCACCCAAACCTTCTCAATATAATTAACATTTACCCTTCATCTGCGCGATTCAGCTTTTATTTCTTTGTGTATATGGTGTTTTTGGCTTTTGCTTGTCACCATCTTGCAAATACAATAGCGTATCATATGTCATATCGTAACAGAAATTGACTACTTAATAAATTGTTATTCTCAGTTGCCGCTCAACTTTTCTCAATGAGTAAACATTTTCTCACTTTATTTGGAGAACACAGCATAATCAACAGCAGAAAGAAAGAGAGAGAACGGATGGAGTGAGATCTGAGTTGTGTCTTGGGATTTGGATAAAAGGGCAAACTAACACGAGATTCTATTCATAAAAAGTAACATTTTCATATTGTCAATAGTCGATCTCTCCTTATTTATTTTTTTCTTGTTCTTTTCTTTCCTTGCCTTTTTTTTTATCCCTCCTTGATGAGCTTAGAAGTCATACCGTTTGAAATAGCACATTGTTCTTCGTTTGAGGAAGGGTATGAACCTGATCATTTAGTAGAATCAGGCAATGAGGAACTAGATCCGAATGAGCAATACACAGGGTGGCAAACTAAAAAGTACACATGTCCTTTTTCTTACCTTTTTATATATAAACGCTCATGATTATGTGTATTTGTAGATATCCTGAATATCCTCAAGATCTTATTGTTCAATTAAAGAATGGCCCGAGTATCATATGCAAAGTGCAACTATTATCACACCATTATAAGATTGCATCGCAGATAGAATTGTATGCTGGTATAACAAAGCAGCAAGAGCATGATTCGATGTTTATTGAATTTACTCGATTGGGGTAAGTCAACACAAATAATAATAATAAAAAATTGTTGACCTTGGTTACTGGTTAGCTTTGTTACCTTGGATAACAATAACCGCTTCCAAGATCGTGAGTTAAAATCAATTAAAATTCAAGCGGACTGTGAATATCTTCGTATTGTGATCCGAGGATGTCATGACAATAGATTGAACGTTCATAAACAAGTAAAAATCTAATCTATCTTGTTGTAAGCAGTCTTGTTTATTGATGGTGTGATTAATAGGCCTCGTTCTTGGCATTAAATATATTGGGACATAATTCAATAATCCCTCCTCCGCTTTCAAACCATCGCACTTTGACTAATAATGTATGTTCTGTTTATATATGACACAAGTACTTATTGTTTGTTCTAGTTGAGTCAAGAGGATCATAAATCATCATCATTTAAACTACAGACATGGATAAAAGTCATTCAGAACGCTGAAGAAGAGGCAGCGCAAGGTACAGCCGAAGGAGAAGGAGGAGATTCAGTACTCATGACCTTTACTTAGACGAGGACTATAAGGAAGCCAAAATATACAAAGAACTGGGCGATAGATTACTCGGACTTAACAAGTTTTTATGCAATCTTGAGCATGAAAAGCAAGTTGTTGTAGCAAAGAAGGATTACGAAGAAGCAGAAAAAATAAAGGTAGGAAGAAAACATCGCCGACGATCTGAAAGTTATTAAGACGTGCATCATGTAGGAGGACATAGCTCAAGTCATGAAAACTGCAGAAACACTCTTGACACAGTGTGGCATTCAAATCACGAGTGAAGGAGAACTTTTACCAGCGGAACCAACTACAGTTCATTTGGGAGAAGAGGTAACTGATTGCTTCTATTTATTACATCAAATTCTCAATGCATAATTATCCCTCAGGAAGAAGAGAGAGATGATGCTCAGATTCCAGCAGATGAGATTACTAATTGGACAAGCTTTGACGCTTTATCCATTCAGGATGGCAACAAGCAGGAAATCACTAGCCCTTCTTTACTATCTGCTCGTATTCCTATTCCAATCACAAACACTGAAAGGCAAGCCACTGAAAAGACATCACCTGCCAAACAACCAGAGGATCCCGAGAATACACCAGAGCCACTTACCAAGGAGGACATGGAAACATGCAAGCTACCGCTCGATGTCTTTGGTATGAACATGATTGCTTGTATTCTGAGCGTCAAGGTCAAATGCAGACAGAGAGGACTAGGTGAACTGTCAAAGATCATTGTTGAAACGGCCGATCTTATGAAGCAGGATGACGCTCATGTCGATCCAGATTTCATTCATGCTTCTTTGCTCATGTTACAAGAGGCTGTGATGGATTCACGAGAATTGATATTTAACCAGACGATACAGATCTGGTACGATTTGCAAGGTAAACGCCCGTTTATTTTCTTTTATGCTTTTTAACTTAAACAGCTGTTATCTAGAGCTCTGTAGTGCAGGTTTATTAGACGACATCAACGTTTTCAGGTGGATCGAACGATTCTTTACAGCAGTGCTCTCTCGTACAGCCGACAGCAACGTTCAAATCAAGACCAAGGCAACGCAGGTCGTACTAGAGCTGATCAAGGTATACCACGATGGTCAGATGGACCTTATTCCGCTCTGTATAAAGGAACGCATGGTGAGAAACCTCAAGGAGGCCAAATCACGAGTTCAGCTCGTCAAGTCAATTACAGAAGAGATCCTCTTGCCCATCTATGACTCGTCCAAGGTGTTCCCTCATCTAAAGGATGTAGTCAATTTTCTGGTATCTTATTACAAAAATCATCATCATGCTGATGTACGTCAATCCACTTGGGAAGTGCTTTTATGCGTTGCACAAAGACTTGATATCAGCATTTTGCGTCCGTACTTGGATAGTGATACCATCAGATCTCTTGAAAAGGTAATCCCGTGATGAAGAAGGTTTTTATACTTACTAATCGGTCTTTTTAGGATGTGAAAAAGAATGAAAGTAAAGCTACAGTCAATGAATTAAGGGCACTGGCAGTAAAATCAAATGGTGCCACTGCAAGAAAGCCTCAAAAGGCATCGAGTGGATTAGGTATGATGACATTCTCTCAAGTAAATTAGAATCTTATATTATTTACTTATACATGTAGGCTCTAAAGCGGCCGTTAAAAAGGTAAGTCAACGTTAACAATAATACGGCACAAACTGACATGGCTACAGCAAACCCAAACCAAAAAGAAGAAAGAACAGAAAAAAGAGGAAAAGAAACCAGAAGAAAACGACGCGTCGTAAGAGAGCCATAACAGAATATCTTATGTACTTGTAGGGTAACCATAAACTGTAGGCTTTGTCTATTTTGTGAAGAGCATAACCCCAAGTTCAACGAAGATACCCTCATAACGCATTATTATAACCACTGTCCTGTCTTGACGAATTGCCCAATGTGCAAAACTGTAAGATGCTACAAGATGTTGATCATTGACTAATCATGATTATAACAGATACTAGAGGTTTCAACCTTGAGAGATCACTTACTTGTGGACTGCGAGCGTAGTCATTTAGTCAAGCAGTGTAATCATTGCAAATACCCTGTACCTGTTGAGCAATGGCTGCAGCATACATTGAAAAACAACTGCACAGGTAAAGGATAACAGGTTGATGCAAGAGTACAATTAATATCCATGATATATAGAAACCTCGGATAATCAAACAAGATGTCCATTTTGTCAGTCGGACATGACGAGTTCAACCGAGGCTGATTGGAGGATGCATCTGATGGATGAATGTCCCAAGAATCCAAGAAGAAGAAAGCAGAAATAGAAAAAAGTGATAAGAAAGCATTTATTAATGTTTTAAACCATTAGACCTGGCTTATTTAAGCTTAAATTTTCATTCTAATAAATAATATAAAGTTAGACTATTTAATATTTAAACTAAAGGCTTACTATATATCTTCTTCTTGTATGTCTCGGTCTCTTTTCAAGTATTTCTCTGATTTGTGCATCAATTTTTGCCTTAAAGTCTGATTCGCTATAAAGATCGACCAGCGATACTGCATCAGGATCAGAGCTCGTTATGCCTGTATTAGAGAGATCACTTAAAGTTGACAATGACGATTTGATCTGTTCGTTTTGACCAATTGTCATCATGTAACAAGGTTCTCTTTTCTCTGTTTCCTGCAGAGAAGTGATTGATTGATGAACATGTTCTATGACGTCTGGCATCGGAATCGGTTTCTTTTCATCTGATAGTGATATCTAATTGTGATGAGAATGAGTTTTGACTTTAAAAATAAAGATGTGATACTATACAGTTGTTTGCTCTGCAATGGGACAATTCGTGCCTATGTGATAAAGGATAAGTATATATATATATATTGTGATGGTGTGTAGATCATTCTATTTACCTACATGATATGTATGCTGTATAATGTAAAAATTAGTAAAGGCATCAATTTCATTCTTTATAAATATATACTTGCCCTAAAGTTAGTAGGATACCCAATCATAGATATATCAATTCTTTTTGGATACTGTTGAATAGCCTTGTATCTTTTTAGAATATTCGTATCATTCACTTTTGATAGATTGACTCCCATTGTTATAAAGAATGAATGAAAAGAAAAAAAGTTGCAATTTAATCCAATGAACAAATATATACGTAAAGAGAGAGTCTTTTTGTATCCGGCGAAAGTGCAATAATTTATTATAAACGAACGTCAAAGAGAGAAGAGGGAGGAGTGAGATATAGCATATAATGTGTGGGTAAATGATAATATATAATATGTGTATAATGGTATTTTATATATATGTGTGTGTATATAATTTTGATCTTTTTTGTTGTTGTTTGAATGTATAAAAATGTGGTATAGAATAAAAGATATAAAGAGTGTAATATAAAGCAAAAAGGAAAGTAATGGATTAAAACTCCCACTTGTTCAAGTTTTCGTCCATAAAGAACTCTACCATACTTTTAACTCTTGTACCTGTTGGATCTCTTGGCTTCATCTCTTTAATGCGGGATATAAACTCATTCGACATTTTAGAAGTAGGTCTTTGTATCATCTTGTCTAAATTGCCTGTCTGGATAATATTTTCAAATTTCAGTCTAAGCTCAGTGACTTCTGGTGTTTCAGGTCTAGGAAGGGACGCAACTGAATTAGGAGAAAGAGTTGAGCTACTTCTACCTTTAATAGGTGAATATCGATCTAATGAATCGTCTATGGCTGTATCATTCTTCATCATTCGAGTGGCCGCTGCTACTTCCGCATCATGCTCATCAGAAGAAACTGCGCTTGAACAGGTAGATAGATGTGACACAGGTTCATGCTGAATGGATACTATATCATCCTGTTCTATTTCCTCTTTGATGACTTGTATGCCGTCCGATTCCTGTTTTTCTTGTTCTTGTTCAGTTTCCAAGTTGATCTCTTGCTGTTTATCATCTTTGGTAACTGATTCCTCAACAGTTGCCTCTTTTATAACAGACTCAGTCACTTGATCTCTTTCGGAATGAACTACCGGTCTACTCTTTTCAGATACTTTGCTAAGCTTTCTCGTTCGTCCAGTCACGACTGATTTAGGAGGTGTATTTTTCGATACGCCTCCTTTAGGTGCCAACAATTTTTTGTTTGTGGCCGTAGGACTATTGTTTGTAGTGGTGTTGGTCTTTTTGTTTGTCACACCATCGGATGCTTTTCGGGACGAGGCAACTACATTTTTTCTTGCTTGTTGACGGTTGTTGTTATTCTATAATTGTCGTTTGATATCAACATTCTCTCTTTTTAAGAACAAAGAAAAAAAAAAAAAGGTCACTTACAGGCTGCAAAGTGGATTTGGCTGCGGATCTAGCAGTACTGGTAGCTGCATCCTTTTTGGAGGATACACCGTTAGTACGAGTTCCCATTTTTTGCACAGCGGAGGTACCCACATGAGTTGATTTTCTCGTATTCTTTTTGACTGATAGATCATTTGTCACTGCAGATTGAAATAGTCTGATCTCACGTTCAGCATCTTCAAGTGAATTACTTGCATAAAATATATCCTTTTGTGTCCTATGGGATAACAATAAGCCTCAACTGTGAGAAAAAAAAAAGGAGGAACTTGCTTACCCTTTCTTCATTTCTTTCATAAAAGAAGACCAGACCTGTATAGCCCCTTTACCTTGCAAGACCAAAGCGAATACAGGTAGTTGTCTTTTAACAGAATTAATATCTTTTTCTTTAAATAGAGAAAGAGAGAGAGAGAACTTACTTTATTTGAATCAATTCTGTTAATTCACAAGATGATTCGATAGGACTGGTCATCATGATTCGAAGACCCTTTTGTCTTGCACTTTGTTTGATTTCATCTTTTAATCTTAAAGGAACAATACCAAAAGTCTTTTCCATTGAAGAATAAAAAAGAAGAGAAGAAAGATAAAGAAAAAGGGAAAATTTGTAATACAAAATTTAAGGGAAATGACAAGCTAAGAAATGATCACACGTGGAATTATTAAAAACATAAACATAGAAAACACAGTGAAGGTATTATATAGTCTGGGTCACATCTGGCTTCGAAAGAGCATTTTATATCTGTGAAAATGATATCCATATTTGGATGCTCAGTAATGCAACCAGTAGGCTTCACCTGCCTTAGTTATTTGTCTGTACACAGCGATTCCTGTTAACTTTAATAGATTAAAAGTATAGATTGTATAAGAAGTGATTAATAAAGAAAAACCAAAAACAATATGTATCAAAAAAGATAATGAAAACATGATTTCTTTTTATTGTTTGCGCAACTCCTTCTTCAGTCTACTAAACGGCCATTTATTTTCTTGTCGCTTTCCTTCTAACATTTGTACTCCTTCTGTAATTGATGTCCCATTCTGCTGAGAAATTCGATGAATTTCATGGGTGATTGTGCCTCTATCTACTGTCTATGATGTTGTCCAACAAAACTTTTCATAATCTTGGTTTGTATTCTTTTTAAGAAGAAGAGATAAAAAGAATTTTTTTTATTCTAATTTATGTTGTCAGTTTGGTCAACCAAAATTAGTCACGTGTAAGTATGATGAATTCAGATTTTATATCAGAGAGAGAGAATTGGGACAGCCTTAGGTTAGGCAGTGTGGAGTTGTATAGTGACTCTTCATGTATAGGAGAAGAAGCGCCCGTAGTATTAGCCTATTTTCTGGGGCATGTATTGCTGACCTTGTTCTACAAAAATTAGTTGGTTCGCAACCAATGCCTTCATTTACCACATTTTGACTTACAAATCGGATAGCGATATTTTGTACGTGTGTACCAATGATTGTTGCATTGATGATGGCTACGAGATTTTCATATTTCTTGCTTTGGTTGGTCGTTATTATCTCAAGAAGTATCTGTTACCTTTTAATGTGCAAGCAAATAATACTTTCACTTACGGTGTACGACGACTTTAAATTCCCCAGTTTTATTTTTAAATCATGAAAAGCGTTTGTCATTAAAGAACGAACGTCGTCTTTGTAGTTGGATTGAACCGCTTTCAGTAGACACATACAAGGGAGAGCATATATCAATTTGTTTCTGTGCAGTTATTGTATGCTATTAACTTACCTCTTTCATCTTTTGACCAAGCTGGCATAACATCATACAGAAATCCAATGATACGTAATCAATTTAACACGGTGTTCACTATATATGTAATGATTGTTGTTTAAACAGTTGTCTTCAAACGTCATTTCGGAGTGTTGAAAATGAAAAAGCACGGATTTCTTTTTTTCTCTGTTTTTCTTCTTCTTTATGGATTTGTTTTTGAGGTTGTTCAATGATGACCCCAATAGCCAATTACCAGATTTAACTTGGTATAACGTGGCTATTGCGTCGTCATTTTTAGTAGTTAATGGTATGTTTACGTAGGATTAAAGGGAGTAAATAATAACACATAGATTAGGTATTATATCATTATCCCTTGGTTTAAAACTAGAGAAATCATTATTGACCAGTTCAATAAGATGCATTATTCAATTAACAATTATGGTAATCCACATTCATTGTATTCAAAAGAATCCATTCTTATAAAACGAGGGGGATCAGGGAAACATATTAGAAAATGTATTCAAGGCTCAACATCCTGTCTTGGCAATGTTAATGACATGTAAGAGCCTTTCAAGCATAAACTTAACACCAACACACACTTTGTTTTAGTTGTCCTTGTCTTTTTAAGTTCAATAGAAACAGTATATAACAAGTCAGAATGGTCGTTTAATGGCATGGTATGTATTTTTATATCTTGATTGAACATTCTTTTGCTTATTGCATGCATTCTATAGTTCCCTTCTGTGTTTTTATCAACAGCCTTTTCAACCTTTTTCATTGGCATCGTTGGAACACGTTATGCTATGAATGAAAGACAGTTTTGGTTACCCGAATTATTCATTCCGACCATTGGTCTACTCCTTGGTATCACCACGGGTGCTATAGCCGTAGGCATCTCATCTTGTCTAAAAAAGGCGGGAGAAGAATCAGGTCAGATAGAGACTTATCTGAGTTATGGTGCCAGTCGAGAGGAAGCAGGAAGAAGTATAGCCAAGGAATCTATCCGTCTAGCCTTATTACCTACCATCAATCGAATGTCAGTTATTGGACTGATTACTATTCCAGGTGCTATGACAGGTCAAATTCTTGGTGGCGCACCCATTATGAAAGCAGTGATGTATCAACAGATCATCACCTTTATGATATCAGCTACGTCCAGTCTAAGTGTCTTGGGCTCAGTCTATGTATGTAATATCAATACTATAATGTTTAAACTAATGTATTCTGTAGTATTGCTTACATCGCTTGATTGATAAAAAGCACAGACTTCGAACAGAAAGAGTGCATAAACATAAAGCAAATATACTACATGACATCAAGTCACTCTTACTTGATCTCTGTTGCTTTGATAAAATCACTACAGATGGCAGTGATGACATCAGCAGCAGCAGTGATAGCAACAATAATAAGCATAGAGAATCATCACCTCTTTTAAACAAGAAACAACTTCCTTCATACCATTAAAGAAAAAGTAACAAGATTGATCTGAATGTAAATCTAAAGTCACACATATTATAATTTACCATCCAATCACATTTTACGGAATATGTTTGTCACACTGAGTCTTACAAATACAAAAGTAAGGGCTTGACTTTTTTTCTTTTTTTTTTCTTTGCTTCATCTGTCATTTTCATTTCATTTTAAAATAAATCATAATGTCTCTTGGTTGCGACATAACGTCATTGGACTCTTTGGTGTTTGATACACCAGTTGAGTCCAACACTTACTTCGAAAAGGACGCTGCTGCTGAACTGGATTTATGGGTACGTATCGTTATAAAACGAAATATATATATAGAGTTGGTCTAACAGTTGAAATGCAGAGCAACGCTAAATTTACTTTTGACGTTAAACCTGGCGTAGGCATTTATGATGATGAAAAGTCATCAAGTCCTACACCTGCCCAATTGGAGTTCTCTGGTCTAGACCCTGTCACTTATGACACACTGGCCAATTACTTGGACTATGAATTACCCAAGCAACAGCTGGAACAACAACAAAGCAAGCCCTCATTGAAACGTATTCAACCACGTCCTTTGGCGCCTGCACCTGTTCCTCCCGTTGCTGCTACTCGTCAAATTTTGTTGCCTAAACCTTCTGCCCCATTGTCTCCTGTCGCAGACCCTAACCAGCTTTTGGCTGCCCTTCTTTCTACTGCCACATGTCCTGGCTCGCCTTCATCCAAAAAGACTGACTCAGTAGCTGGTGTCAAGCGCCCTTTGGAAAAGGCAGGGGATGGTGTAGTCGTCGATGATGACAAGCGTCGTCGTAACACAGCAGCTAGTGCACGTTTCCGTATTAAAAAGAAGATGCGTGAACAAGCCATGGAACAGTCTGTCCGTGAGATGTCTACCAAGTCAGAACAACTCCAGGAAAGAGTCGATCAACTTGAAAGCGAAATCAAGTTCCTTCGTAACTTGTTACTCGACAAAGTTGCTTCCAACAAGCAACAACAACAACAGTAGATTCAACATCATTTTTGTATATTCAACATATTCCCACTTAATATTCAACATACACCTATAACTGTACCATAGATTCAACATTTGTACTTTCTTATAATTCAACATTAGCATTTCAACAATGGATGTATCAGCATTTCAACACTGATACTTCTTTATTATTTCAACAATGACATTTTGCATTTCAACAATGAAGCCACTTTTTTAGCATTTCAACAATGAAGTCTTTTTTCTTCTTAATTTTGCATATTTCAACAATAAAATAAAAGCGCTCTATTTTCCATGACAAACCGTTTTTCCCTTTGCGTGTGAATTTTTTTTATTTCCTTTTTTTTCTCTCTGTCTCTTGATAGTAATGAGCCAAGACAAAGAAGTCATCACATCATCTCAATTGAGTTTTCCTTATGGCGGGCAACCAGATATAAGTAAGGATATACTTTAAATACAAAACATTGAAAAACTAACATGATACATAGTTCGCGCAAATCAAAAGGATATTTACTATACAGCCATTATTAAAGAACAGTTATCCACTATTATACAACAATTCCTTGGTATGAATCACACACATGAATATGCAACACAATAGTTAATATATACTGCAGGCACACGGTTTCAACATTTATGGCAAAAGGAGATCAATACTCTTTCTGATGTATGCTATTATAGCTTGACTACCTTGTTGGGATCACAGACATTAGGAGAGGAATACTGTGATATTGTACAGATTAATAATTCAACTTTAACATACCCAAGATGGATGGTACACATATATACAAATATAAACCTGACTATAGCTAATAATACATTTATATATAGCATCGAGCCTGTCTTGTCTTTGCACACTGTCTATTGCCTTATATTTATTCCAAAGGCATAACAGAATTAAAAAAGCGATCAAGACACGAAGAAGAAGGATCAAGGAAGGAAAGAGCAGTTCAGTTATTATCCAAACTGCATGAAACTGCATCCAAATACATACAGCCTATTCATTTAGCTATATTCTACTTTATTGGTGCTTATTACAATTTCTCAAAACGGATGACGGGCATTCGATATGTAAAGTTGACTATCGCTTTCAGAAATATATCTAATTCTTTCATAATAGATCTTTACGAGACGATTGGGAGCATTTGAACAAAGAGCAGGTTATGAAGTATTAGGAGCATTGATATTTATCCAATTGGGCATTCAAGCCTTTTTAGCCATACGTAAAAGAATGGAAAATAGCAAACAAGTAAATCAAGATGATGAAAAGCAAGTAGTTGTGGCAGAGGATGACTTTGATTTCATGGATGACATTGTAGAGGAAAAAAATTTAACCTATGAAGAACTTCAACTATTAAAATGTGCTTTATGCTTGGAAAAAAGACAGTCGACGACGAGTACACCTTGTGGACACTTGTTTTGTTGGAGCTGTATCATTGAATGGTGTGAAAATAAGCCAGAATGCCCACTTTGTAGAAGTCATGTCAACATTTCTCATGTGTTTCCACTGCACAACCTTTAACTTTATCCTTATTTGCTGGAAAATGTTATCATATCGACGGATAATCATTACACCGGTTTATTCTGTTTCATCTTTGACATGGTTGTGATAGCAATGACAATGGATAATGATAAAGAAGATACATTTTGCTATATAGAGTTTTTACAGCAATTACTTCTTTTTTTCTCTTGGAATTTGAAATCATTTTAGGGCATAAAGTAGATGAGTACACAAGCTCAACTCTATTTTTTAACCGAAAGATTACCCTTGTGTTATTGAAACCCGGGTTTTTACTTTTTTAAAGTTCAGACGCGCCAAAACTTTATCAAGTTTTCATATGAGACGTGTATTCATGCTATAGAGTATAAGAAATATCTTTTTGGGAGGGGTTATTTTAAAGGAGAGAGAAAAGGAAAGAATAAAAGGATGTACAAGGGATAAAATACGAAAAAGAGAAATAAAAGAAAACGGCCAAAGAATAAAAAAGAACAATAGAACAAAGCAAGGAAAATAATTTTTTCCGTTATAGAAAAAAAAAAAAAAGGAAAAGCTAAATGATATCATCCGTGTTTCTTGTAACGTTGTTTTCTAGAAAGTCACTTGTTTGTTTGTTGTTATATTCTATCATTTTGCTCCTTGAGAAAGAAAAAGTACGTTCATTGAGCAAGATGCCTTGACTTCAAGACGCTTAATAAATATTTCTCATCATTTGTTCACGTATGCATCAACATACTGCCGCAGCTGATAATGCACAGATAGCATAACTTCCATTGTTACGACTATAACCCACCCCCCTTGCCTTATAAGAAACTCACCCCATCTTATGATTATAAATTAAAAAACATCATAGCTTCCGGAATAAACTTTTTTTTTTTCTTCCTTTGTTTTACAATCTTAAAATGCATAAGCTATCGTACTTGAGCATTTTACTGCCAATATTGCTTTTATCACAGAATGCATTTGCACAGCACGACCATGGTAGCATGACTATGGATGAGCCAGTACCCGCGTTCAATGCTACTGGAGATGAGCCGATGTCATACGCATTATATCCTGGAGAAAAAAGTTACTTTTACCTTCATGTCACCATGATGGTTCTGTCATTTTGGATTTTAATGCCTTTAGGTAAGATCCGGATGGACATTTGACATCTATCAGACAATGCTTATCTCGTTATGACTAGGAATCATGTTTGGTATTGCCAAATCGTCACTACATGTCCCTACACAGTTATTGGCATTCGCCGTAGCTATGCTTGGTTTCTTTTTCGCAAAGCTCTATGGCCATTCAACGCCTCATCTCTATAAAGGAAACTCACACCACACGCTGGGTTGGATCATGTTTTTGCTGCTCATCATTCAAATGGCCGTTGGCATTGTGCGTAAAATTGCAAACGCAGTGGCCCGCAGTAATGGAGAGTACGAGCGATTGCAGGAAGAGCAAGCTCATCTTATGGGCCAATCTCCTTCATCTAGCAGCAGTAGCACATCAGATCGCCACAGCGAAGCAAGCGGAGAAACGTTACATATGAATGAGTTTGATTATGACAAGCATCGTCAGCATCACTATGAGGATGAAGAGGATGAGGTTTGTATGACTCCTACAGAGATTGTTGCTCCCATGGAAGAAAAGCCTACGGTGACCATGCGTCTGTTTAATGCCGTTTCGCCTTTTATACCCAAATTCATGAAGAATGCATTTGTGATGTTCGCCTATAATCCATTTACAAAGGTCGTCTGCCGTTATTATCACATGATTATGGGAAGAACATTTATTCTCCTTGTCTTTACTCAAACCTTGAGCGGTCTGGTCGTCTATCATGGCGTTTGCAGGTGAGTGCTTGCCCTTTTTCTTATTATTATTTGAACTCACACTCTGTTCCCATTACAAAAAGATCATGGGAAGTCCTAGGCTGTATCGCTCATTTGATTAAAGGTGGTATCTTTTTCTTTTATGGTATCATGACCTTCGGTAGATATCTCGGTGCTTTTGCCGAACGTGGATGGGCATGGAACCGTATTGACGGCGGTTCGAGTTTTAGCTTTGAAATGATTGAGTCCAGCTTGATTTTCCTCTATGGTATCACAAACACCTGGATGGAACACTTTGGTCAAAACCCCGAATGGACGCACAAGGACTTTGAACATGCCAGTCTGGCCTTCATGTGGTGGTGGTGTGGTTTAATTGGCATTCTGGTCGAAAGCAGAGCGCTGCGCAGACTTTTGGAGGGTACAGAGCCAACAAATCGCGAGAAGCAACAGCAAACTTATTCCTTGAATCCATTCCCTGCATTGACTGTTTTCATGACGGGCATTTCCATGGGAAATCATCACCAGGATACGGCTTACTCTAGCAACATCCACTGGCTCTGGGGACTCTTACTCTCATCTGCCGCTGTTTGTCGACTGTTTACATACGTTTCACTCTATCGCAATGCGCCCACCAGCAAGAGACCCAGTCGTCCTCCGACTGAGCTCGTGGGTGCCTTCTTGTTGATCGCTGGTGCTATTCTCTTTATGGCCTCAAATTCGGGCACCCTGTTGTGGCTGCGTCGTAATAATGTAGATTCGATGTTCTTGATGAATGTCTGTGTGGCTTTGACATCAATCACTCTGACCTATGTTGCTGCCCTTATGATGATCAAAGCTTGGTCTAAGCGAAGAGAAGAAGCAAAGAGAAGACGTTAATCTGTTCATCATTCGTATATCATCATCCACTCATTTACATATATATTGTTTTTCCTCAACATAATCAATTTAAATATTATTTTACTATTCTACCTTTACCTATTATTTTAATAATAATAAAACCCATATTCTTTCCATACTGATTTATTGTATATACATGTATTCTTCATTCAAAGAAAAAGAGGGAATCTTTACTTTGCACATAGACATCAACTTCATTTCCTTTTTTAAATTTTTATACTTGCCTTTTTTTTCCTCTTCTTCTTCTCTCTTTCTCTCTTTCCCTCTTTTGATAAAGAAAATAAAAGGGCTTTTTTATCCCGCTTTTAATATTCTATTGAAATGACAGACGTTAAATCTGCTTCTCATATAACAAGCACTACTCTAGCTGACGGTGTCACTGTCAAGATCAACGGTAAAGACCATCGCTCTCTTTTTTCTAAAAACACCTAACCTCTCTCTTAAGATCACGTTTATCTTGCACCTGAGCACTTGGGTGAGCCTTATTATGTGGGCAGAATAATGGAGTTTTGCACTTCTTATAAGCGCAAAGGACTGCAGGCTCGCATCGCTTGGTTTAATCGTCCCAAGGATGTCATCAACAGAAAGTCGGCGGATCCCTGTCTCTTGGTGGCTACGATGCATTCCGATGTGAATCCCGTTTCCTCCATTCGTGGCAAATGCGTTGTCACTCACAAGTATTATATTCCCAAGGATCAACTGGATGAATATAGGAAGCAACAAGACCATTTTTACTATAATCAGCTCTATGATAGATACATACAGCGTGTGTACGATGTGGTCCCATGTGAAACAGTACAAAATGTGCCGCCAGAGACTTTGGAAGCCCTTAAACAAAGATACCAATTCATTGTTGTGGAGCAGGGCAAAGCATCTGATTTAACGGTAGCTAGAAGGACTTGTTGTGTATGTCAAGAATGGTGTTCCAGGTAATATGATACACACATTCGGTTATTTTATGAGCATACCTTCTCATTTTTTTTTTATAAAAGTGCTGCTTCTGTAAAGTGTGCAGCTTGCCAAAAGAGTTATCATATGGCATGTCTAAATCCTCCACTCGTCCGTAAACCGTCTAAAGGGTTTGCGTGGCAGTGCGCATTTTGTACACGCCAAGAGGCTCTTGCAGATTCATCCAATCATCCAGAAGCAACCAATCAGAAAAATAAGAACGATTTGAAAAAACGCCAAACCCGTACAACACGATCTCAGCTATCTAAACAACAACAACAACAGCAACAGCAACAGCAGCAACAGCAGCAAGCACCATCGTCTTCTTCTCAGGAACAGCAATCATCAAGCTCTGAGCAAGCCTCTTCTTCTAATACATCCATGATCAAACTAAAAGTAAACAATCTCAAGAAATTGAACAGCAAGTATCTACGCAAATCAAAAATATTCAGTTATTTATCTTTTTTTTTGCAGATGGGGAAATCAAAATGACAAATATGTGGCCATTTAGATATTTTGGTGTAAACACAAACATGGGAGACATCCTAGGTAACAATTACATCCCCCCCCCTATTCTCCCCTTTTTTCCCCCTTGCTAATACATTGCATAGATATTGATGATAGAATATATCCAAGAGCAAAAAGTAGGATAGGACCCAAGTATCAAGCCAACGTTCCTGATTGGGACATGGCAAAAAATCGAAGCATGTCCCCTATGAGTGAATCAAACTCGCTTTCGAGTGGTAAAAGTAAATCAAAGAAAAGCGATAAAAAAGGCAAGTCGTCGCAACGATCAAGTAGTAAAAGATCAGGTAAGAAACAAGAGGTTTATTGTCATGTTGATATTGACATTGATCTATAGTTGAAGCAAGTCCTGATAATTATGCTATGGAAGGTTCTAGCTTTAATGGATCCGACCAATTTCCAATGGCTCCTATTAGAGGTGGTGATGATACAGTAACATGCCTTTATAGACCTGGTATCCTTGACGATGAACAGGGTAGGTGCATACGACTGAACTTGAAACGATTGCTTATCTTTTGTGTAGTTGATGACTATATGAACCAAGTTAAAGAGCTGACTAATATACCCCTTCCACCCCATTCTTCTGACTTAATGGATCGTGCACTTTATGAATTAGAACAAAGCCATTATCACACAGACATTGCCTTCGAAAGGATGTCTCAGCTTACACAGGATGAGTTTAAGCATATTGTGGATTGGTCCGATCGGGAAGTGCAGGCATTTGAGCAGAGTATTCGTGAGCATGGACATGACCTGAACTATGCTAAAAAGAGTGTAGAAACTAAATCAATGGCTGACATTGTCCGTTACTTTTATCAATGGAAGAAAACAGATCGATATGAACCTGTTTATTCTGAATGGACTAAGATATTTAAACCAATGTAAGGTCTATTATTAAAACATATAACCATCAGTTTCTGACATATGCACCCTGTTTAGAAAAAAATTCAAAAAGCTAGGACAAACAACAACATCAGATGAAGACATTAAAGACGATGTTGAAAGCGATGAAGAGTCTGATCCAACGATTGTGCCCAAGGATACATATGGTGATAGGTCATACCAGTGTATGAATTGTTTAACCAATGAATCAACTATCTGGAGAAGATCTCCTTCTGATATTGACAGAAAACGAAAGGTGTTTAAACAAGTCCTTTGTAATGATTGTGGTATCTATTGGCTAAAGTATGCAAAGACAAAGCCTATATCAGAATCAATTAAGAGAATGAATGGACAAAATCATGTCAATGGCACTGCGGGTATACCAAATGGCAATGGTTCTGCTTCTACCGATATGTCAAGTATTTTACAAAAGCGCAAACGAAATGAATCTTCATCCAAGGCAGTAGTAAAGAAATTAAAAGAAGAGGTAAGTGCTTTCCATCTATCTCTAGACTTCATGCTTATACTTGTTAGAAATCTGAAATGCTGCTCAAGTTCGAACCGACTGAATGCAAGGTATGCTTCCAGTTTGGACCTGACGAAAAACTATATACATGTTACGACTGTGGTCTATCTGTTCACAGCGGTAAAACATAAATCATGCTTATATTTATTCTGTTCTCATCCGTTTCTTTAGATTGCTATGGGATCGTTGATTCAGACAAAGAAGGCTGGTCTTGCGATCCATGCAACAATAGGATCAATCCAGTGGCATCTTATACTTATGAATGCGTACTATGCTTTAAATCATCTGAAGAATCAAGACAACCGCTAAAGAGGACATCAGGGTATTACTGGGCTCACGTACAATGTGCTGCATTCATACCTGAGATCAAATTTGTTCAACCAAGCACCTTATCACCAGTCGAGTATATCGGTTGCGTGAACAGTGCACGGCTGGAAGTCAATTGCCAACTCTGCCACGATACACGAGGGGTCTGCGTTGCTTGTAGTGAATGCAGAAAGACAGTCCATGTGCAGTGCGCTATTGAACACAAGTTTAAGCTAGCATTCGAAATACAATCACCCACTACAAGCGCAGGAGGAAAGGCCAAGATTCCGATCATTCCTGCTGGTCTGTTTCATCCGACCTCACCCTCTGGTTTAATGGTGCCTCATGTTTGGTGCCCAACACATAATGTTGCGACACGTAAATTAATTGAGCTGGACACACGTACCTTAAACTCACAAGAAGTAAGAACATGTGTTTATCGAACGCCGTCATGCTAACTTCTTTACTAGTCTTCTATTATGACTTATGCAAAGAACTACAAGCCAATTGCTAAAGGCACAACACCAGCCATGAGAAGGTTCCGTCAAGCCACATACCATACATATCATGCATTCAACCATCGTCATTCATCTCATTATCATAACCATCGCCATAACAAAATACCTAATGCTCGTGAGGCAGCGCTGGAAGCGTTGACTATGATCGAAAATGTATCGCTAGATCAACTTATTAGTCCATTGCCGTTATCAGCCAAGCCTTCTCTTGCTCCCACCAAGCAGTTTCCCAAACGTATCTGCGCTTCAGAAGGCTGCCTGGTTGAGCACTCGCCTATCTGGTGGAATATAGAAGGAGATTCGGAAAAAAGAGTTTGTCAAAAATGTCACACTTCAAAAAGCATAAAGATTGAATAAAGATTTGTGTGTTTTTTTTTATTATTTTGTTTTTTTCTCATCCACTTCTTTTCTGGATGCTATTCTCTTCTCCCATCTTGAAACATAGGTACCATAGGCTAAACCTGAAGATACTAGAATAGCACTCCATGCTTGTGCTACCTTTGGCTCAAAAACAGGAATACCGAGCCACTGACAGAATTCTGGACTGGTAGCAGCAACATAGAACAAACTGCCAATAAATGAGGCCTTCATGTCGATCGATGCCACATGAAGCAATCGAGGTGTTGAAAAAGTCCAGTTTGTCTCAGTCAAGCGGAAAGCGTCTATATGAATGTTAAGTCCTCTCTCCTATCATCTTGCTTGGAATATATTTACCGATCCATAATCCACCACCGCATCCGGCTAAAGTTCCGCATAAAATCTTTGCAACGTACTTATCAGCACCCAAAGCAGGATTGGATCCAACACCATCGATACCATGTTGACACATAGATAAGGCACGTAGAATACTATCTGATAAGGTGAACAGGTGTTCGACAACGGGTATGTTGAATAGAAAGTCGATCACTTGATAACCATATGAGCCAGAAAACATGGCCAGATAGGTAGTACTAGATAAAGATGATTATTATTATTATTTTATTGTCCTGTATTTATTACCAGTGAATAGCCCAAAATTGATTGCTTTTCAAAAGACCAATAGGCTCTCCTCTTAATATTGATACTGTACATCCACCACCACTTGCCATGACCAATGTGGCAAGTAAACCTTGATACCATCCAACCTGGCTATGGCTTACGCCTAGAGCAGAACGATATGAATAATTAATCAAGATAGCAAAAAGTACATCCAAGACGGGTAAAGAATAGTTGATGATGGGAATATCGACTTTAAGATCAGCCAATCCAAATACAAATTGGACTATCTGTTCGTTTAAGGTAGACATGAAAGAAAACAAAAAAAAGAGGAGAAGAGGGGAAAGTGTTTCCGATTTTTTAAAAAAAAAGTTTGTTCTAAACACAGCTCGTCAGGATTTATGCGTGAGAAAGGTATAAAAAGCATAACTTTAGCTTTCTTTTTTTTTTTTAGCTTTCCTTTTTTTCACCATGTCTAATATTCTCGTGTTATCCCAAACTGATGTTGAAACGCTCTTGTCAAGAACAAATGCTCAAGTCTGCAACCAAATAGTAGACCTGATGGAAGAAACATTTCAAAAGTACACTGCAAGTCATTCTGACACTGACATTGCGTCAAAGGTACAATCACCTCAACGCGTAGGCGTCAAGTCAAGCTTTCATCACGTCTTATTTATGCCCTCTAGACTTGAGGAAACAACATCTATTAAAATCGTGAGCGTGCCTACAAAAGATGGTAAAGGCGGCCTAGCTTCCACTATTTTGGTTCTTAACGAAGAAACCGGAATAACGGAGGCCATCATCAATGCCGATGCACTCACAGCAGTAAGAACTGCAGCAGGTAAACAAAAAAAAGAAAAGAAAAGAAAGAAAAACGCGTATAAAACAGATGAAGTAATGACGTATTACATATAGGGTCTGCCCTTGCAACCCGCCACTTGGCTAAATCAAATGCCAAAAACTTGGTTGTTTTCGGCGCGGGAGCTCAGGCACGATCACATGTAGACATGATGATCGCAGTTCGTCCTACTATCAAAAAGATTGCCATTTGGAATAGAAGTGTCGAGCGCCGAGATAAATTGATTGAGGAATTGAAATTAGCCTATCCAGATAGAGAGTTTATTCCTACAGACCAAGATTTGCAAAGTCAAGTAGAACAAGCTGATATCATCTGTACCTGTACCAACGCGACAAAGCCAGTTCTCTTTGGAAAATGGCTAAAGCCCGGTGTTCATTTAAACTGTGTTGGTTCTTATACTCCAGACATGCACGAAATAGACCCTGAAGCAGTAAAAACGATCGAACGTATTGTTGTTGATTCCGTAGAAGCTTGTTCGCACGAAGCTGGGGAACTGATTAAATCATCTCAACCAGAAGACTGGCTCGAGCTTGGTCAATTGACCAAAGAAGTAGACGTCAATGAAAAGAATAAGATTACATTATTCAAAAGTGTAGGCATCAGCTTACAAGACAGTGCCATCGCTGGTTTCATGGTTAACTTGGCAAAAGAAAAAAAGATGGGGACAAGAGTTCCTTTTTAATATTCATTTTATTTAATATAAACAAAGTCAAGTGTAGAAGCAGTTTATCTAAAACGATGATTAGTTAGCATAAAAGATGAATAAATAGAATAGTTTTGTTTTGGGACGTGTATAACAATAGTTCAGCGAGTATAAATAGCATCAAATATACCTTCGTAGGGTAATTCTCAGTGCTTGACTCTATTACTTAACAATCTCATCATAAAAGGCAAACACGGCCCCCAAAACGACTACAATGTCAATACTTTACCTTCTTTGTTTGTAAAGAACAAAAGAAAAAAAGAAAAAAAACAAAGTGAAAGTAATTCAATGACATTTATTGTATAAGAAAAAAAAATTTTTGTGTATAAAGTGACTTGCTTGCCAATCAGACTTCAACCTACACTTTGGACACACCATCATTTTTGATAGTCACAAAGATGAACAATAACTACAATTCAATGCCTTAAGACAAGTGTTTATTAAATTATTAAAAAATGCGTATTTGTATATTATGGAAAAGAATAAGGAAAGGGGAATAAATAAAGTGTAAGAATTAATTATGGCCTATTTACGATTAAATGGTGCTTTCAAAACATCTACCAAGTTACGGAAACTGAACTTGAAGCCCCAGCCGGAGGACTCGATTTGGTCAGCAGATGGCGACTGTTCTTTTACTTGTTCTGGTAAATCCAGCGTGGAAGATTCTTCCGATATCTCTTCAACAGCATCAACTGAACTAATTGCGTTCATATCAACACCTGCTTCTCTTTGTTTGTCACATGTAACATCCACTTCTTCCTTGACGTCAGGTACGACACCATCGGCAATGTTTGTTTCCTCTTCTTTCTTTTCATCTGCCCCAATTTCAACGTCAGCCATCACAACGTCAGATGACTCTGTTTCCTTCTTGTCAGTCTGCTCAGCAATAGCTTCCTTTGCGCTCTGACTGGCTTGTAAATGCTCCCATTCTGAGTTCACTTGCTGGTCAGTTGCATAAACCTTTTTGTCAAATATTAGCAATCTGCTATATCAACTGTTGGCACTTACAATTAAAGTTTTGGCCTTTCTCTTTTCAATCAACTGCTTAACTTGATCATATAATCCACAATTGGTAATATCTATCCTGGTTTTAGTGACGTTTCTCTATTTCATGTGCATAAACCTACATCCTTCCTGGTTGCCACTACCAACATGAACTAATAAAGCGTCAGAAGTGTTTTCATGCAACTTTAAGACGTCAAGAACGCCCTAAATATGAACTGTGAATGATAAATAACATGTAAAAAAAAATCTCGTGTACCATAAGCAATACATCAATCAAAGTTTGCTTTTTTTCAGATTGAAGTTTTTTAGTATAGTTTCGGTCATCTGCAGGACCATAAAATACACTAAAAGCTGCAGCTACTGGTTCCTTTTCTTCCAAAACAGTTGCGCCAATCCATACAGAGAGAGAAGTTTCCTAAAAGAAATGGATTTAAAAAGATCATACCACACTTGATAGCATATATTCCTTACTGTAGATTCTTTCAAAGCTCTTTTTGCTAACAAGGAAAAGCAAAAAATGTTACAAAAAAGGAGGGAAGAAGTTTGTTTATGCATGCATATATACTCTTTGTTCTTTTGTTAGGCATCTCTTTCACTTGCTCAGCTGGGATTGAAGAAAAAGATCTCTTTCTTCTAGGAGCAATATCAGTTTGCTGGGCTGACTCGAATGGAGATAATAACTGACTATTGGCAACTACTTTTGACATTTAAACGATTATAAAAAGAAAAAAAAGAAAAAGTGAAGAGAGAGAGAAAAAAAAGAGTGTTGGGGTATTAATGTGGAACAAAATAATTTCCCCTGATTTTTTATAGGCAGTTTAAAGGGATCAAATACTAAACTTACGTTATGCTTATTCTAATAAACATATCCGCCTCAGATATTACGCGCTCATAAACGTATGCTACAGGTAAAACATATGCGGCATCCTCTTGCTAAACTTTTATTTCAAAGCAAGGAAGGGTATCTTTAATAAAAGTGAATAGTAGTAAATATATTGTTGTGTTACGTTTCACTTTTATTGGACTTATTAACTGTTGTCATGGTTCCTTTGATTTCACGCATTAAAAGATGAATTCTGATTGGACATCACATCCAATACATCCTAATTTCCTTTTTTGTAAATCAAGGACTAAATCTTTAACAGTTTAATCACTGTGAGCATTGCTTTAAACTTATCCTTTTCTTAAGCCTTTTTTTATCATAAAGATATAGTCAGCATATGTATCCTGTAGCTCTTTACGCATTCTGAGCTATATACTTTGCTTTCATTCTTTGAAATAAAGCATAATCCTATCATATAATGTTAAATGAATATGATCAACGCAGTCGCTGATAAAACCATAGGAAATCAGATAAGTTAACTTGTTATAAAATAATCATCGAGCACATTTTGAGAACGAAGCATGAACATATCGTTTTAATGCTTCAGGAACCTCGTCGTAGTTTAAATTTGAACAATTGAAAAGGTTTGGTTTGTCTCTCACTTGTTATTGAACGAGATTACAAAGTAAATGCTTTTACAATTTGAGGATTATTTCAAATAGAGTAATGACGCGCTCCAAGACAAATTTTTATCACTTTCGGGGATACAAGGTCAAAACTAGAGGTCGAAGGACAGACGTGCAAATGGTGCCTTTAAAGAATTTTTTTTTGTTGTGGAATGTCTTTCAAGATCAACAAGATCTCGTGTGAATCGTTTAAACTACGACTATAGGGCACCACGAAAATTGCCTCAGACAATTCAATAAGAATAATAGCCTATGCTTATTAACACGCTAAGCAGCTGCTGACTTTCACACTAGGTAACTTTACATCATTACCAGTGACTACTTGCTGTTTTGCCTAAGGTAGTATTATGAGTAGCCTGCTGCTCTACATGATTGTTTCCAAATTGTGAAGATCCTGTTTCTGGTAGTAATACAAGCTAAGCTTCAAACACGTTTACTAAACCGCGATGAACCGTAGTATTAGTCACAAAGAAAAGACTGATTAGAATTTGAGTGTAGCTTTTTATGACCGCATGATAGATATGACATCAGGTGTATAGTTTTGACCAATGATGTATATATATATATATTTATAAAAGAGAAACGATGTGACTATAGAAAGTGTATTTTTTTACGAGTCGAGCCAATCATGTTGACATTCTTTTTCATTCTATGAATGCCTTTTTTCGATCAGCTGTTGTTTACATGACTAGTGTCCAATAAAGAAAAGGTGATTAGGCTTCATTCTAAGCAAGTGCTATCGGCCACAGTCGGATGTTACTTCCAAACGAAGATACAATAGTGCCAAGAGTAGTCAACAGGGTTCCCCCAGATTTCCAGGAAAGGTAAGATTAGTGTCATTCTCGGATTGATTACCATGAATCATTGTGTCTGTATGTGTAAAGAATGGTACTAAACACAGCCACGAGTTTATTCATTTTAAGTCTTTGAAAACTACATGACGACAATAGTAAGGTCCAACTTGAGTCTTTCATTGCAACTCAAGGAGAGGAGAGAAGGGGTTTTTGTAGTGCTGTCATGGTGATAAAGCTCATCTTAATCGTTACTGTTTGTTAATTTTAACTTTTAATGTGCCACCAACAAATTTATTTTTTTTTTCTTCCTTCTCTTTTTAAGCCTTTTCTTTTTCTTTTCTTTTTTTTTTCTTCTTTCTTTCCCCTCTTTTTTCTTTTCTCTCAGTTTCCCAGAATAATCAGGATATCAACCCGCTTTCGACAATTGGTCGTAATGCGACTTCAACTGTCTAGTACAACAAGAGTACAGCTATATTGCTGGTAGATTGAGAAATGACTATATATGTATTTGATATGGATTAACACTTTATAAATGGATTATTATGATAGTTTTCTAGCATTGGGAGGCTTACTAGTAAATAATTTCTTCCTCCAAAAAAAAGCACTCTAGTTATTGTTTCAAATTAACCTTTTTTTTTAGTGTGGGTAAATGTTATTAATGAAAATAGCGTAGAGAATAAAGAAACAAAGTTGTATTAATCTACGATCATCAGTTATAACTTTGCAGTGATGACAGGAATCCTATTGATGCCATCGTTTCAACAAGATATGGTTAATGTAGATGATGGAACGAGTAGTGTCATGATCAGTGCATTAATGGCTGGTACAGTGATTGGTGCCATTTTTTCAGGACCATTAGCAGATGCGATTGGAAGAAAGGCACTCATGGCACTAGGAATTATTGCATTTATCTTTGGTAATGTTCTTCAAGTTGGTGCAGATAATCTAAGTACAATGTATGGTGGAAGAAGCGTGACAGGTGTCAGTATTGGGTAAGTGTCTTTCCCCCTTTTTTTTTTTTTTTTTTTTTTTTTTTTTTTTTTTTCCTCTTTACCCGTATTATCCAGTAGAAACATAACCATCTATTAAATAGGATGCTCTCTATGGCTGTGCCATTGTGTAAATCTTTTGTCTTATTGGCTTGGTTTTTAACTCTATGTGCTTACTTTATTATATTTTTAGATCAGTCAGAAATTGCACCAAAGAATATGCGTGGTAGATTGATGTCTATCCAACAATTCACCATGACACTAGGAATAGCAGTAGCTTATTGGATTGATTATGCATTCATGGATGTGGATGGATCTACAGGATGGAGGTATACCCTCTCTTTTTTGGTACATAACAGCATTAGTCTTAATATACATCATTATCTTAGACTTGCCATTGGAATTCAACTTATACCTGCACTCTTTGGTCTGATAGGATTACTCTTATTAATTCCAGAAAGTCCTCGCTACTCTATTGATAAAAAGCATACGACACAGGCACTTCACACTCTTGCCAAGATTCGTGGGGATGGCACAATAACACATAATGCAGCATTGATGGAATTTGTAGAAATGAAGCAAAATATCACTTTTGAACACAAGATTTTCAAGAATGAAAAGTATAAACGTATCTTTTTTTCTGGACCTGAAAACAATCGAAGGAGACTTCTCCTTGGCATGGGCGTTCAGATATTTCAACAACTGACAGGCATTAATGCAATATTGTAAGGTTTGAGAAGTAGAGAGCGGGTCATTTGAAAAAGTTCTTTTTTTTTCTCACATTTCACATCTTTAGAGTATTTGCTCCCCAAATATTTAAAGCCGCTGGATTGTCTGGAAAAGGCGTTGCACTCATGGGTAAAAGATAAGAATACGAGGATACATTCTTTATTAATACATATTTAGCAAATGCGCTGAGTGGATCGATTAATCTACTGGCAACCATACCTGCTATGATCTTTGTAAGTTGTTAATGAACGAAAAAAAAAAAAAAAATTCATGCAAAACTCATTTAAAATAAGATTGATAAATGGGGTAGACGACCTACCATGATTATCGGAGCCATTGTTTGCTGTATTTGTATGGGAATTATGGCCATTTTAGCAGGTAGACATGGATACGGACATGATGTAGTTACTACAGAAAACGATACTGGTAATAGTATGAGCATGGTTGATCAAAAAAACCCTTTGGTTCTTTTATTTGACACCAATGCACCTACTATCGGATTCTTGGTTGTCATGTATGTCTATGTGGCAGCATATTCATGCACCTGGGGTACACTGGGTTGGGTTTATCCTGCCGAACTTTATTCTCAAGGTGTAAGAGCCAAAGCTCTTGGTATATCAACAGCCTTCAATTGGATAACGACTTATGCAGTACTTCAACTAACACCCATCATGCTACGAAATATTGAATGGAGAACATATGTACTATTCTGCGTGATGTGTCTCATCATTGCTATCATTGTTCATCTCTACTTTCCCGAAACAAGTGTATGTGTATCATTTGTATTCCAGATAAAGAAAAACTCACACTGATCACCATTAGGGTAAATCATTAGAAGAAGTTGATCTCATATTCAGCTGTCGATTTAATTATTACGATGTGAACGTACACCATCCTCAAACAGCTGCAGAGGCATTAGCACAGATGGAAAAAGTTCAACAGCGAGATAAGAACCTGTATCGATTTCCATTTACACCCGAAAGAAGTTTCAGTTCAAATAGTCATCATAAAAGATCTACTCTTTTACCACAATATCATCAGCCGTCCTATGTAGTCAAGTTCCCGCAAGATGCCTATCGTCGTTAATTATTCAAACTCTGTAGATACTCATATACCACTTAATCTCTCTATCTATCTCTTTCTCTACTTTTGCTTTTTTACTCCAAGTAATTAATAACTATCATAGCAACACCCACCCACCCACACAGCAAAAATACTTTTAGTTTCATATACCACAGATATTTTCTTTATATTGTATATAAGGGTATTTATAATCATAATTGATAATAATAACACACACACATATCTTTCTCTCCCATTGCTTCTATGATTTATTAGTCTAAATAATTGATTTTTTCCTGTTTGACTTTTTTATATTTATTTATTCTTTTGTTTGACATGGTTGATTCCAATGAGAGCACACAAGATGACCCTTTATCAGCTGTATTATCCCAATTAGCCTCTCTAGATAACTCTGATCCTGAACTTCAAGCTGTAGACGACGATCAAGATATGCAGGACATTCTTGATGCTTTACTTGAATTACAGCGATTAGAGGGACAAGAAGGCGATTTATTTGATCAAGACAATCTCACCATTAGTTATGCTATTTCACTTAATCAAGAGTTGCAACGAGAAGCCGAAAGGCAGGTTGCACTTATCGATCAGCAAATGAAGTTGGTGATAGATAGGCTTGTAAGTGAAACTTTTTTTTGCTTTTAGTCGCATTAGAAATAACTCTCATTACATAGAACAACTTGAAAGCCATAGCTCGGCAGGAAAGCACTTGCAAACACTTTAGAAAGAGTGGATATTCTCAAAGTGTAAAGAAAGTCTTGTTCTTTGATGAAAGTGAATTATTACAGGACAGTGACGAAGAAAGTCATGATGAGGAAAGTGCAAGTAGTGACGAGGAAAACGATGAAAATGCAGATAATTCAAATAATGAAGGGTATAGGATAGCAAGGGGATGTAAGTTGCGTTTGATCAAGAAAATCATATCCTTAAAACCTATTTTCTTTAGGGACAGGATTGGAAAGAAAGAGGTTATTTGAAGCAATCCATTCGGAAGCAAAGAGAGTGATAGCTCATGAATTTTTGAAAAGGTATACATACATACACTCACTGGGCAGATAGCTAATAAAGAACGTTAGAAATGAACCATGGCGTGTTTGGGAGATTGACAAAATGGTTCCGTCTGAACTAGAGGCTGTTCCTGTCAACAGGATTGACTGGGAACGTGTGAGCTCTTTACATGTCACCACTCGTGACCCTAATGAATGTTTGATCCAGTGGACGACGCAAGAACATCCCGCTATTAACAAGAAGCCTTGGTCTGCTCAGGAATCAGCCAAGCTTAATAACCTCGTCTTGACTCACGGCGAGATTGGGCAGTGGGAAACGATCGCAAATGAATTAGGCACCAATAGGACGATTTCACAGTGTTTTTCACGGTATATGGCTGATAAACATGCTCGTGGACAACACCGAAAATGGACACCAGAGCTGGACGCACTCTTGGAGAAGGGAGTTCGGATGTTTGGGGATCAGAATTGGCAGCATGTTGCATCCATGTTTGGAAATAAGTCAGGGCAGCAATGCTTGCAAAGGTGGCGAAAAGCAACTAGTCCGGCTATTATAAAAAAACGGTGGACACCTGAGGAAGACGATATGCTGAAGAGGGCAATGCAACTATATGGGGTTGGCAATTGGAGAAGGATTCAGAGATTGGTGCCTGGAAGAACGGATATGCAGTGTAGAGAACGGTATGTGAACAAGCATGATGAATCTGTTCGCCGCGATAGAATCACTGCTGAAGAAAAGCAAAGGATAAAAGAACTTGTAGATGAGTACGGACCAAAGTGGTCCTATCTTACTCAATTTTTACCTGGAAGAACAGATAACCAAATAATGAAAACATACAGGTCCATAATAGCCTCTGAAGAAAGAAAAAGAAAAAGCCTCGAGAGAAAGCAGGAAAAAGAAAGGGAGAAGCTCGAGAAAAAAGAGGCAAAGTTAAAGATGAAACAGGCAAAACAAGAGGAAAGGGCAGCAAAGAAGAGATTATATGAGCAGAAAAAAGAAGAGACCAATGCAAACAAAAAACCAAGAAAACGAAGGAGAAAGAATCAGGAAGAGGAGACTGTTGCTCAAGAAGAATCGAGTTCACAGAGACAAGAGGGAGAGGAGTCTGCTGTTCAAGAAGAACCAAGTTCGAACGAACAAGAGGTTGTTACTGAGGGAGAATCGGGAAAATAATTCATAGGTGTGGCTTTTGTCCGGTTGTTGAAAAGTGAGAAAAAGTCTCTCTGTTTTTTTTGTATGTATCTGTAAATAATCCCTTATTTATAAAAGAATTATAGCCTTCAATTAAGCATGGTTAGTTTAAACACGAATAAATTATTAAAAACTTGTTTGCTCATTCTTTTTGTAATGACTGTAGAAAAACGGATCTAAAGAAAATTTGACATGGAAGATCAACTATCTTGCAGCCCAAGTAAAAATAACATTAGTTATGAATTCATATAACAAACCAACACATATATGTCTAATATAGGTTGGCGAAAAGACACACATGAAGACGGCCATTATGGCTGCATCAAGAGCAAAACATCAACAGATCCATAATCCAAACTTTCAACCAACAGATACAGAGGCTTTAAAAGAGGAGTTGCAGAATACTAGAAAACTGAAGCTAGAACATAAACTGGTAAGCAATCATTGATTTGATCGATTTGACAACATATAATTAACAAGAATACGAAAGCATCAAGGAAGAAGAGAGATAAAAAGTGCATTAAAGAAATCAAAGATTATTGAAACACAAAAGCAGATCAAAAAGATAAAGTCAGCCAAGGCCATGGGAGAAAAGTAAATAGTGTTGTGTTTCTTTTTTCTTTTCTGTTTTCTCATAGTGATTATAGGAATGATGAGAAGGAATCTCAAAAGAAAGTGAAGCCAGAAGATCTACCAAAGCTTGAAAAAGAACTAGATATGCTGAAGGTATGTGATGAGATAATCGATAGATCATAACATAATAATCCTTCTGTGTATAACAGCATGTGGATCTTGAATATCTTGCAGATAAAAAAGTCAAATCGACCCTTCAAAAGAATACTGCATTCAAGAATGAGGAACTAGTGAAACAAGTGATAGATAGTATTGAGATAAACAACAAGTACCCAGAGGATATCGACAAGTTGATATTATCCAATATTGAAGCAAGATTATTAGCGCATAAGTCAGTTGTGGCCGAAGTTCAAAGCATCACTCAGTCCTTTATCAGCATCTTGAAGGGAGATGCAGAAAAGATTGAGAAAAAGAAGGCCGAGGAATTAGAAAAGAAGAAGAAGGCTGAGGAAGCGAAAAAGAGAGCAGCTGAAGCAAATGACGAAGGACAAGGCGCTAAGAGACAAAAGATGAATGGCAAACCTAATGCTTCATCCAAATTTACAGATTCCTTGACAGAATACGATGAAAAGAATGATGAATTCTTCAAAAAGATCTATGAAGGCGAGACGAAAAAGAATAGACCAGGACAAAGACAGAGAAGAAAGTAAGTTGATAACAACAAAGAAAAAGGTGTATGTTGATTTAACTAACATCTTTATTCTATAGACAATGGGAAGAACTGTATGGTAGAAAGGCAAATCACATTTCTGAACAGTATAAGAAACGAGAAGAGAAGCGACTAGCCAATCCAGACTATAAACCAAAGAAAAAACAAGAAAAGAAATTAGAAATTAAGAAGGCTCCTGCTGAGCCTATGCATCCATCATGGGAAGCCAAACGTCAACAACAAGAGATGATGTCTAAGGCTTTAAGCGGAAAAGTGTCCTCAAATAATAAAATTGTGTTTGATGACGACTAATATATTCAACTGCTGATAACAAACTTTTCAATAAATACAAATATCTAGCATGAGTGAAGTTTAAGATATACATATTTATTTAACATAACAAAAGGCAAGACCATCATGGCGTCCAAAGCTCACAGTTTGTAAAGCAGTAGCAACAACGCGGTCATCTTTGGTGATAAAGTCATTAAAATCACGGACACCCTTAAAGTGTGGTTCACTCTGAGCATTTTCATCCAAAAAACGTCCACCAAACACTACATTATCCGTGACAATCAATGTACCTGGTCGAGAAAGTTGGATAGCACGATTGAAGTAGTTCACATTGTTGTCTTTGTCAGCGTCAATAAAGACCAAGTCAAAAGCAGGCTCCTTCTTGGCAATCAGGTCATCGAGTGTATCCAAAGCAGCACCAACTTTAATTTCAACAACTGAAGATAGACCGGCGTTTTCGATGTTCTTTTTAGCAACATTTGCATGCTTGGGATTCCTTTCACAAGTAATTACTTTGGCAGAACCAGGATTACCTGAGGCATTTGCAAGTACTGCGCGACCAAAATGGATAGAGCTAAAACCACCCAGTGTTCCCACTTCCAGAATACGTTTAGCTGAAGTAGATAGAGCAAGGACTTGAAGGAGTCTGCCATGTAAGAAGGATACGTTTTGAGAAGGTAAACCAGCTTCCTGGCTTGACCTTAAAGCTTCTCCCAGTACTTTATCTTCTCTTACACCAAGGCGAGTTTCAAAGTATCTTTCAACAGTTTTAGCAGTTTGTTCGGAGGCCATAATGATAATAATAATAATACGGATAATAATGTAAAAAAGGCGAAAAATTGTCCCTTTTATATTCACACTCCTAACAATGTCTTATTCCGCAACAATTTACCATCTTTAGTTCATGCCAGGTCAGGGGTCTGTAAGATGCATGAATTGTGTGTATTCATGAATAAAAAGAGCCAAGAGTTTTTTTTTGACCAATGAACATTGAGCTCTAATCAGATCAAGTTACAGACTAGATCAAGCACAGAATATACAAATAAAAGTAATCCAAAATTATTCAAGAAAAATGATATTCATTACTGCTTTAATCAGATTCTATTTGCTTTAGAAAGGATTTGTAAGCATGGATTCTTTTTGGATTAAAATATTATACAAGAAAAGTGTTACATACTATGATGTACAGCGAACGACCGCGTGCTTTTACATATAGAAATTCCGAAATGGCGCGCCTTGTTTTAGAAGTTCCATCTGATAACTTTTAAATATCCGATAAATTGAGCCAACTCTGTATTTGTCAGATGTAACTTTAATTCTGATATTTTGTTTAGGCTGAAAATCATTTTAACCTGCATTGCTACTTGATATTAATATAAACGGGTAGAAGGACACGATATTACATTACTCTTTATAGTGCATCTATATCTTATCAGATGGCTACAAAAGAGTACCTCTTATTAATACGACATATTTGCTTCTTATTCACGTAAGAATATCTCTTGCTAATACAAACGTCTTTTTCGTAAACTCATTTTGGCCGTCGTATTTCTACTTTTATATAAAAGAAGATCACACCATTTGTCGTCATATAATAAATATGCTTTGTATAGAAGCCAAAGCCATCTTAAATATTAGTAAAACACGTAATATTAAAGCCACGATATATAGATGTAACTGGTTGACAACATTTATTCTTTTATAAAGATCAATTTATTTTTTGCCATGAATCCCTTCCTTACTCTGTTCATGAAAAAATCACAAACAGCCTTGTTTCGTCTACTTGCATTCTTATGTTTCCCCGGTAGAGCAACTTATTCATTGGTTATCACATAAGCAGCAGTGATCGAGTTTAAGATAGCTTTGTTCTTCTAGAAGCATATAAATCTGGATGTGACTTCATAAGCAGAATCATGCTCACTGATCAATGATCCCATCAATATTGTAACTGAGAACTTTATTGGAGTACCAGCAAACGCATATACTGATGCGTCGACAGAATTTATGAACAGAAGCTTGTACTGTATATTCTACACGCCATATAAAATATTTTACTGCATTTAATGACTGAAATACAGAAAAATATTGATAAAAAGGTTATGATATACGTAATCCGTTATTGTACTTCTGTCTTTGAAAAATACAAGCTAGTGTTACAATTCCTGTATTTAGTCTAACAGTTCATTATGCTGTGCTTACCTTATAAATACTTGTGGTATGAGATTACTCTAAATCTATATTTTATGAATGAACGTCAAAGAGATTGATCACAAAACACGACATTTTCATATAACGCGACATAACCAACTCTTATTGGCCAGAATCGATTTCTTAATAATTTAAAATGACGTTTTTTGTAATAATGAGCTCCCTCTCTCGTAAAAGACAGTAGCTTATGTAGATGATGCGCACAAATATTTAAGACTCCAAATAAGAAAATATAAAATGGCTAAAGAAGCAATAAAATATTCCGAACATCCCAATAAGGTATTTAAAAAAAGCAAGTAAAACATATGAGCAAAGGGAGGCAACCATTACCCTCTTCTTTGTGGATATGTTGAACATTTCCGTAGTAAAAAAAAAAAAAAAAAAAAAAAAAAAAAAAAAAAAAAAAAAAAAAAAAAAGAAAAGACGTATGGAAAGTATGTTTACCTCAAGATTTACGCGACGATACTAAGGAAACTAAAGAAAAATTCCAACAGTTTATAACAAACACTTTGGTAATCTTAAAGTCAAGTAACGTTCTTCTATGCACTATGAAAATATCTAGTTATTTGTTTAACATCATTATTAAGCAATATAATTTCTATGAGATATAACAGCCATTGTTATATCAAAATATGAATGGTATTCACTTGATTATTGATTATGACATCCTTTGATAATAATACATGTTGCTTTGCCCAAAATATATGTGGCATTTCTCTGAGAAAAGAAAGCTCCCTATACTGTGAAGATAATTCAATAATGCCCTGAAATATTGGAAGGGACTGATAATAAGGCAAACAGAGAAAGGCTGAAATAATAAATCCGGTTTATACACATTTTATAGTTAAATCAGGATTTTCAACCAAAGTCATTTATGATATATATAACTTACGACTTCTCAAAACTTTTTTAGATTATACATGAAGTAATAGCAAGTATTATTAAAGCGTTTCGGGACTACAATTATTTTTATGCCGTCCATCGCATAATTTATATAAAAGCACACATTTCAGGAACCAAATGGGATTTTGTTTAAGCAAATTAAGATTAGAGAATAGTATAAAAAAGGTTTTCTTCAAAACTGACCACAGTCGTGTGGTTTATTAGCACATATTTTATATCACCCTCTATTTTTTATAAAGTACATCATTTTATAGTCAAATAATAAAAAGAGCCATCTAAAGCCCTTCAATGTATTTTAAATAGAAATTTAATATCTAGAATAGCTTGCAGGCTAATATCATTAAGCAGGAAAAGCTTTGTCGTTTTGCTTTTGCTGTGCGGTCAGTATTGTGTGTCTTTTAGGTATTGTTAAAAGTTTAGAGTATCTATTTAGTATTTTCCAAAGTTATTTTACGATAATTAATAAAATCAACTTACTATTTGCTATATATGAAAAAGTAATATTTAAAATAGCTTACTCTAATGATATACTATATTAATGACATTCTTTCTTTTATGTACTTTTATAATATCTTTAAAATCTAATAAGTACAGTACCGGCAAGATCCTGCTAGTTGTAGGTCGTGCAGCCTAGAAACTGTAGAAATGTTCAAGTAATGCTGTAGTTGATTTTATAATTAATCATCATATCCTGAAGCAAAGGAGTTTAGTGAAAAGAAAGTGTTAACATGAGATATATAATATATGGAATTGATTTGATCTTTCAACATTTTGCTTTTATCTTATTTTTACTTCATTAATATACTTTTGCCTGTGCATGTACAAAATAATATTAAAAATCCAAGCTATGTATTGAAGATAACTGATGCGCTCATACACTTGAGTGCTACTTTACGAGCATAATTTGTTACTATCGCTTGTTTTTAAAAAGCAAAAGTTAAATATGCTTTTGTAAGAGCTCATTTTCGATCACAATGAATATACAATTCAACTTGATTCTATATACGGCTTTTACTAGGCATGCTTACTACGTGTAAAAAGTATCTTTCAATTGCTTGGTACGACTTTTGCGGATCATTTTTCATCAATATAAATTCATTGTACATCCGTTCCAGATCATATCGAATAGTGTCTCCATTCAAAAGCTGAAGTGTCATGTTTCCGGAAAACTAATGATGACCTACTTATTGAGCGTATATTGACATGAATAGATAAATAATTGATTTGTTAATGTTTTACAAATTAACGTTTTTTATCAGGTCATATCCTTTGTAAGTGCTTTACTATTTCCTATAAAAGTCATTTGTCTGTGCTTTTTTTTTGTTTTTTGTTTTTGTTTTTGTTTGCAGTTGTCTGCTTTTGCCTTTAATGAATAAAGCAAGTTTTTAATTTTTCAAATATATTAACCTGAAAAACAACACGGTTTCTAGGGATTCATACTTCACTTTATACCATCATATTTTGTATGTAACTGTACCTATTTGAGCTTCTCTTATAGTAGCCATTATTATTTTGAATGGTCGACTATTAGTGTATCTTTTATAAACGGTTAGAATGTAACGAGTGAAGGTTACTGATCTATTTTTTCTTTTCCTCTAGAAAAAATCATGATACATATAAAAAATAAAGAAAAGCGCGTAAAATATAAAAAAGGAATCCTAAGCGGGTTACATATCTCATCTAACCAAAAGGGAGAGGGCTATCTACTATTCATTCGATAATCCTTTATAATCAACACCAAATTTATTAATGCAGCTGCACTCGTGTTCAAAGATAGTCCTAAAAAAAAGTTACCGCATGGCTAAAGACGAATTTTTTTGTTTTTTTTTAATATTTTTGTTGAAATTTAAAAATGGATGCTTCAAATACAATTACGGAAAAGGAATGTAGCAAACTGGTCGATCAAGTCTTGAAAGAAGATAACATTATTCCATCAAAAGAATCTACAAATCAAGAGAAGCAAAAAAATGGGGATAATGACATTATTCAAGAATTTGACGAAGCTAATCTTGACAAGCCTGAATTAGCCAAAGAAACGATCGATCGCGACAAAGTAATTGAGAAGGAGGGCGATGATGGCGATAAGAGCAATGAAGATAAAGTTGCTGAAGATGAGGAAGATGTTGACATGGATGAAGAAAGAAGAAAGCAAATCGAACTAGATGGGCTGCTATCTAAAGCTTTGGCTGAAGGAGAAGAAGAAGAGGAAGAGGAGGAGGAGGAAGCAGAATACGAAATAGAAAAAATCATTGGACACAAGATATTCAAGGTAATAATGGACAAAAAAATAATGAACAGCGGATTGACTTTGGATTCGATCTAGGGAAAAGTTGTTCAATACGAAATCAAGTGGAAGGGTTATCCTGAAGAAGAAAACACGCTTGAAAAGGCCAACACGATTCACAAGTAAGTAAGCAGATTGATAATCATACCAACACTAACATATTTTCAGTGACGTGTTTGATCTCTGCAAGCAGTATTGGGACAGCCTGGGTGTGAAGAGACCTCCAAATGCACCAGGTTATGAAAGAGAGGGCGAAAAGGAGGAAAAAAAGAAGGTCAAATCAAAAAAAACAGATTTGAATGGAGAGAGCACGGTATTAGGTAAACGGCATCGATCTATCAGCTTGGATGAAGAAGAAAAGAATGACTTGGATCCCAGGCATGTCCCTCGATGCATGCATGAGAAAGGATATCGCTTCCCTACTTCTTATCCTAATGAGAATACACGGTGGGGTGAAGAAATGAAGAACATTTCAGCTGTTCAGCTCTCTCCTATAGACAAATCTATTATGCTGACTTATGTCGATTGGTAAATATTAAACGATACAATGTCAGCATTCAATTAATAAAAATCAAAAATATAGGAAAAATGGTGAAAAGACTATCCATTCGATGAAGGAAATTCATGAAAAATGCCCGGAAAGCGTAAGTTATCACTAGTAACAATTTCATGTTCTTACGCATATTTATTTTAGTTGATTAATTATTATGAAGCAAGATTAAGGTTTGTTTAGATGGCGAATCAAAGTTTTAAACCATTAATAAAAAAAAAGAAATAATTTGGCTCAAAGCTTTACCTTTTTCATTTTTGATAAAGAGCATTATTAAAAATCCATATGACTGTTCCTGAGAGCAAGTGAAACACTTTTACCAAACGTGTCCAAAAAGACGACTGTGAGAAGAAAAACAAGTGCCACATTAACAACGCAAAAGACAATAAAGGCAATTCCGTCCACAGTGTGATGTTCAAATTACCCGTGACACATAACCAAGTCTATATTTTTCTTTGACAGCTCAGCAATATTATAAGCAAAGAAACACATATCGCTTTTATGTAGAATATGATAAAATTAGTTTATCAACACGTTGTTCGATAAATTTGTTTGACTATTATTTCATACTTGTCGTATATCAGCGAATATATACCGAAAGGGCCAATTGCAAGGACAGAGAGGTCGTCTCCAAGTATACTTGTTCTACTAGGAGTAAATACCTAAACTCCACGAGGAGAGCTGTGTTCGATACGGCGATTTATATCGCGACGAAATCCATGTAGTCTATCACATCCACAAAGAATGCTATTGACGATCTTGAGTATGTTCTTCGAAGCATTCATGTCATGTTGTCAAAGCAATCCACATCCACGAAGGATGCTATGGAAGTTCAGCAAATACTGTCTTGTTTTTTGTTGCTAGTTTCCTTAAACCTTCAAAGCTATATTCATTATGGGTCGTTATTGGCTCATAGATATATTCATGTGCATGCGGTTCATTAATAAATACCTGATTATCTTTAAACTTGGAAAGTCAAAGGTAGTATTGAACATACTAAGCTTAGCTTCATAGTTGCTTTGTATAAGCTTACTAGTAAAAGATGAGAGTGTATTTGGGTTTATGGTTACTAATCGCCATTTAAATGACAGTATAGGGAACAAAGAAGGAAGAGTCGCGCTATATAGTTTGGTTTTCCTTGCTGATCTTGTTGCTGGATCTCTTGATACTTTTGATTTTCAGCCATCAGTCTCTTAAGTATTTCTCTAAGCATAGGAATATAAGATGCTGTAGATGCAAATAAGCTTTTGAATATAACTGACTTAGGCATTTTTGTTTTTGAAAGCCCTTCGCGGTTCTTTCATCGATTGTTCTATCTGTTATATCCTCAGGCGACGTTGCTTGACCATCACAGATATACTGGTAGCCGTATTCAGCAAGTCTTTGAATATATTTACTATTTGACTATGTACTTAAGTGTATTAGAACTAGTGGTGTACAATATAAAGAATTGATTTTTATTAACTGCTTCACTGAGGTTCTAATCGTACGAACCAAATGCTTGTCGCGCAGGTGCGGTGTTCGATTCGGTAAAAGACAACCATCCTCTATGTTCTCCTTATTTTTGAGCATTCAGTAGCTAATAGGAAAATTGCCTCTTCCAAGTATGCATAAATAGGTCTCTCTTTTTTTTCTCTTTTTTCTTCTTTTTTTCCCCCTTATTACGCCTACTCAACTAAAACAATGCTCGCTTCTATGTTCGGTCACAAGTCAATTCACGGTATCCGGAAGGCGCACCACGCACTTTGCCCCACACTGTAACCTAGCACTTTCTTGTTGGCGATTCAAGGGGAAGCAGAATACTGGAGTTTGCCACGGAAGGGATGCCATGGATCTCCTAGTAATTAAAAAGCACCGCTCTGTATTTTGTGGGGATTGTGCCCTCTAGACGATGATTCTCCGTCCTAGTTATCGCTAGGACACATCTAGATGCCTTCGGGGTAAGTTGTATGTAATAATTTTCTTACATAACTAACTGTATAATTCTTTATATTCTCTCCTTGGTACTTATTACTCTCATTTGTATGTCGTCTCCTTCGCACGTATTTTATTTTTAACCTTTACGTAAATACTTTTTTTAATATGCGCCAATTATTTTTTTCATACACGTTATAATTCTATCCTCTTTCTGAAATTTATTTTTAATAAAACAGTATTCCTATAGAGTAGCCTATGATCATGTACAATAGCTTTTATACACGACGTTCCGCTTGCCAAAAAGGTCACTTTAAAAAATATAAATAATCATTTACAGATGGTATCAGTATGAGAGATGTACATGATCGTCATCGTATATCAAATGCTTTGACAATGATGAATTATAGGATAGGAGTTTTTCTTTCATCCTGCGGCCTTTTAAGATCACCTGAAGCTTTTAGTATCATTTTAGCTATTGGCGTATTTTATATTATGAACTCAAACACGCGCACAAAGGCAGTTTGGAAATACTCAGTAAAAACGAAATCTTGATAGTTCAAGAAGAAACATTTTTGGAAGTCAGTGCATGCTTAATCTGTTGTTAGCAAAATGATAAACTAAAATAGATAAGCCTTTATTTGTCAAGACGAAAGGTAGATTAATCTCCAAGCCCCTAACATCACCTCTATTATCCTTACTCATTGTAGTGATCTTGGTCTATCTTTGTCTTTTTTAAACAAAAAAAAAAGAATATTTTTGTGCGTAGCACTCTATAATCTTCACAAGCTCCTTTCAGTCTTGCTCTTTTCTTTGAGAGGTAAGTTAGGTTTTTATTAAAAATTTGAGCTGCACAATAGAGGCAGAGCTTATAGAGAGGGATATGGAAAGGCATTTTTAGTGCGCTTTCTTGATATCTGAGCGCCCAAGTATTTGACACCACATTTTTTGGAAAATTGGGTAAATGATCCAATGCTCTTGTTTTGATATAAACTTGAATGCTGTTTTGTAATCGAGAAAATTTCGTCTGATGACATATCAAAGCGTTCATATACTTTTTCGCTTTGTGGATCGTATATATGAAAGATATCATTCATGAATTCGATAAGCTGTGATTCAGAATCTAAAAGATGTGACGTTAGTTTATGAGCTGTAATGAACAAGTAAGACAATAGGGGCAATGCTTACGGATTACTTTATCTTTTGTTTGATTATCTAATTCAATTTTCTTCAAATATTTTAGATGGTGAACTCAGTTCTGCATGATGGTACCGTTTGTACTTAAATGGAAAAAAATTGATTCTTTTACTTGCAAGAAGATATGGTTCTGACGGCGTATCGATGTAGCAAAGTTCAATGTTCTGAATTGCGACAGTTTTTGCTTCATTTAGATTTCATTTTCAGTAGTTAATGGTGTACACTATGCGTACGAAGAAATCCACGAGAGGGTTAATGTTATAAGCACTACATGTGATGTCATCAACAAACCTTTTCGATGTGCAATGTCACGTTAAGCTCGTTCAGAACAGATATCCTTCCATGTTTCTTGATGTAGAATGTAACTTTTATAAAGTTTCAAGAAAAAGAGATAAAATGCGGTTATTGCTGTATTTATTTTAGTTTTATGTTGTCAGTCTATCAACAAAGAACCAAGATCATTTAAGGGTGGTATTATATAAATGATATCCCACTGGACAGCTTTAGATTAGGCAGGCACTTTGGGTAGTATGTAGTTGTAAAATGACTCCACATGTAGTGCCTAGGAGAAGCGCCTGTAGCATGGCCTTCTCGTGGATTTCCTCGCGCGCGTAGTGTTCATCTAGTTAATAGATCGTCGTAGAATATATAAGCTGCTTGCAGATGTGTGATCAGTATCTCTGGGTTTGAGGGCATTCAAGTGGACGGAAGGTTGACGCGAGCTAAAAAAAAAAAAAAAGGTCGACTCTGTCATTTTGTCGAGTTTTTATTCTTCCTTGTCGTTATCGTGATTTTATTTTAACCGAAAATCAAGCAAGAACAATTTGTTTTTTCAGGTTAGCTTTTTGTCAGCTAATCAAGGCTAACAAGACTGTCATCACATGGACTCTTTGTTTCGACATTTATCCCAGCATTTGTAAGAATGAGAAACAGCCTTTTTCTATACTCTTGCAGACTTTCGTAATTCTTTTTGACAACGTGTCTTCTTGCAAAAACCTATGGCTCTTAACCTTACTTTTTGCCACTGCCCAGAAGTGTTCTATTGGGTTAAGCTTAGGAGAATAAGTTTCTAAAAATACGAAATTGACTTTGATTGGCCAGCGACGTTGTTTTTGAATTGTTCGTGGCTTCAATTTTAATTGGCTTCTTGGAAGCACTGTATCCCTCATATTTGATGGATTAAGCTTTTTAGCAGACCAAGCACTTCACTTGACATGTCATCCAGCGTATGTTAAAGGTCAATAGAAACGAAAGAAAAGAGATCATGATCAGTTTCAAGGATGAAAAAAAAAGATATACATCATATACTCCTCTTTTTCTCTCTCTCTCTCTCTTTCTCTCCTTCCAAGTATCTTCTCCCTACCCCGCTTTTTTCTTCTCTTTTTTCCTCTTTTTCTCTGTCTTTTTTTTCTTTTTTCTTTGTCCTTTTATATTCTATATTCCATTTTAATAAAACGTCAGCTCCTTTTACATTTATATTTTTTTTCTTTTCTTTCTCTTCTTTTTATGTTATAAAAATGTGGTCTGTTTCACGAATCGTAAATAACCATATCACCATGGAAACAAATGACCCTTGACTGACCATGCTAAAACTAATAGTTTGGGGATTCAAAATGGATAAAGGCGATATTGATTTCGATCGTTTTACAAGCAGTATTAGCCATAATTTTTGAATCAATTATATTAGGAAGTCATGCTAATGAAATCAATATCATCAATCAAGAAAGATTAAACCAGCAAGCATTTGGACAAACCCTTAGAATAGCTTATGCCAACGCACGATCATTACTAGTCTATTTCGCTCTATTCATTATCGCTCAACTATTCACAGTCATTTTAGTGATAGACGCTGTAATAACACACATACACACACACACACGATAAGAAATTAAATAATTAATTTGTTTGCAGGTCCTCCAGAAAAATACAATAGAGCTAATCGCGCTGGCCGCATTCGAATTGGGCCTCAGTGCATATGCCATCATTCAGTTCCATCAAGCCTCTAATTTATTTTCCAACAAGGACGACCCAACCGTATTACTCGTCTTGGCCTTTTTGGGTGGCGATTACCATGCTTCGAAATGGGCAGAGATCACACAGATATGCATCATGCTTATCTTTACTATACTTTTCATATTTTTAGCATATAAACTCTACTTGGAGTTTGGTTGGCAAATTTACAAAAAGATTGGCGCAGATTTAGCTATGCGAGGTGAAACTCTAGAAAAAGCAGCAGCGTGATTGAATATTGACCTTGATTTTATAGATCGCTACAAGATGTATCAGATATTCATGATGCTACTCAAATTTGATTTTTTCTTCTTTTTGGCATTTTCAATCCAATACCTTGTATTGCTCATCGTCACTTGGTTACCAGAAGCAGATACTCCAGAATCTAAAGCATTAATTGTTAGAGAATTGATTGAACATATCGTTCTTAGTTGCCTTGTTTCCATTGCCATGTTGGCATTAGCTTATTGGGGTGTAAGTTAAGCAATAGATGTAATGTACATTTGTTAAACTGTATCATAGTTACGTAGAGAATGCAAAATACACATGTACTTGTTTACGGCTCTATCTATGGCAAGCATGGGGTACTTTATTTACATGTTAGTCACCATATCCAAGGATCCTGATCGATTTGTTGGTTCCAAGGCTTTCTTGACTTTCTTTTGTAAGTTTTTTTTTTCTCTTGATTGAAAAAGTTTGAACTAAATATGTATATGCTAGTATGCGTTGATATGGTGCTAATTTTGGTAAGTTTAATATAAATAGATCTTTTAAAATTAACCTCCCTTTTCCTCACGCCTTTAATTAGGTCTCTGTGCCCGTTGCTCTCATTTGTCTCAAGAACTTTAATCATGGCTTGATTAATCACAGTAGGTATATAGTGAAAGAAAGATGAAATAGATACTAAATCATGTTAGTATCTCATGTCTCTTCTCATTCAATGCACTCTATCAATAACAATACAGGGCCTATAGATGCTACTAATCCTGAGAGATGGTCTATTGAATAAAGACAGAAAAGGAGAGGGATTATTATTATCATTATTATTATTGTACATATATAATGAATGTCTAGATTATTATTATTATTAAAGCCTGTGTCCAGCAACAGCACAGAAAATAGTCATAAAAATAAAAGTGATAAGTATAATAATGAATAAAACCACGAGTGATCGTAATCTGAGGACTTGTCTGACACGAGGTTGAGCAATGGTATTGAATTTGAAAGGCATTGTTTCACTAGACTAAAGATTTTAGTGTGTGTGTTTATGTATGATTTCTCTATATATTTTTTTCTTACCTAATGTTGAAACATAAAACCCATATAGGATCGATACCGATAACAGAAGTAACAATCGAAAATACACCTAATCCTATCGGTAAAATACCCTACAGAACAAAAAATAAGTCTCCCCATCAAAACATACAGATGTTTTATTTTACCCATAATCGCTGTTGCCATGGAAACACATCTAAAAAGATCAAGGAGAGTTCAAGTGAAAAGCCAATGAATAAAAGAAACAAACCGAGTGCTAAACGGCCCACTTGCTGAAAAAGTGTAAGGTTCATGAATACTTTATACTTTATAAACAAAGGGAAAGTTGTTTCTAGCTGCTGATAGACAAACTGCTTGGCCTGTAAAAAGATAGCGGGATCCTCGGGTCCTAGCCGCTTATGGTGTAGATAATCGTCATTAGAGAAATGGTGCGTGATGGCCTGCCTGATCTCTGACGGAAGCTGGGTTATTTCCTTCTCGGCGTTAGGTACAATGTATCTTAGGTAAATTCGTTCAATGACCTCTGCCATTTCTTCCTGTGTCGGCCTCCTGCTGCTCTGTGTCGATGTGGCCGAATGAACAGTCGTTGCCATTGATGGACGCGGTTGGATGAGTAACATGCGTGTGAGAAGATCGGGAAAGTTGGAGGAGGTGGAAGTTCTGCCGTCGGATAGTGTCAGATCCGAGGGATGAGGTTTATTCAGACAAGGTAGTTGCTTGGCCTGGTGTCGAATGTATCTTTTATACAAATGTGCCGCCTGTGCTACATCGAGCCAAAAATCCAGCAAGATATCCATTTCTAGGCGGTCTCGTAGGACGTTCTTGAAAGGATCTGTTCCTGACCCAATCCTAATTGATATTATTCATGTCACTGACAGACTCAAATTTATTACCGAGCTTTTTGTCGTTTGTGGTGAAGAAGATCATCTCTGGTGTGTTGCGGACATCGTTCGTCGAGACTTTTACAGATATTTCCCTGAGGCCCAGGTTTTACCTACATGCGAAAAAACTATATGTTCTAATGGCATTACCTTACCTCCTTCGATCAACCTTTTCGAGGATATCCATTTTTGTTACCTGATGCTCATATCCTTAAGATCAGCACTGCCAGATTGCCAGGACAGTATGGTCAAGGCAAACTCGGTGTGTGAGAATCTCAGCAGAGCATGCGCGCCAATATGTCTAAATTGGTCAAATTGTGGATTGTGGTATTGTATATGGCTTAGCCGGTCTTTACACTGGTAGAGGTAACGCAGTATTAGATATTAGCCAGACAGGTCCAACACATGTTTTAACTCATGTCGTTTCTTGGCGGTATACACCATGCCACACTGATTGTATGAACTCGACAACAGTTGGAGCGTATGCTACATGGAACTCAATAGGCTCATATTGTCACTACTGTCACAGCTCTGAACAATGCTCTTGTGGAGTATGAGAAGAAAAAATCGCATATTTCCTGTTACAACTGCAACGCTATGGGGCACTTGGCCCGACAACGTCCTCGTCGTAATGGGCCTTCGGCTGGGGCCCAGTAACAAACGTCCCAGTAAGACGCCTATCCAAGCGCTTCTTACGTCCATTGTTGTTTCTGCCAAATTCTCTATTCACTTAACATCGGAGCCCAGTCTTATTAATGTCATCTCTTTGTAAACTTCTCCCGCAGCCATGTTTGAAGAGATCATACATTTTTTGACTACGTCTCCCACGCGCGTAGTTGAAAAGATCTCAATTTCCTTGGCTCCTTCTCCTTCACATATCCGAACGTCGACAGTCTCTAAGTACGCAACAGCGCCATATACTAGTACTCATTCTCATACAACTGCCTCTTTCCATCCACGAGAACCCACGAATAAAACGTCCTCACCTCGCGCTACTTGCTCCAGTTGGGATGCTGAGAGACATCAACGTAAGATTCCCAAATATTGCCCACATCATACTGCTCCATCCAAAATGGGAGCCACTCCATCCGCTTCTGCTGGTCCTGTTGCAAGTGCGATTAATGAACCTCCTAAGGATATTGATATGGGTGAATCTACTGATGAATCTCATGAATTGTGATCTGCTTCACCTAACGTTTTCACAAATGAAGCCCATCATAGCGAAACTTATGATGATTGTCAATTTTAATATTTTAAACATGAATATTAATCATCGCTCTACTTATTTCTGCCACGACCGTGTAGAGCCTCCTACACAACCTCATTCATCGGAGCACTTCTCATACCTACGAATTGCAACTCTCAACTGTAACGGATTAACTAAGACTAGTTTCCTTCCTCTAGTTCTGAGTTCATTCGGTACCTTCACACACATCCAAAGGATGTGATTGCGCTTCAAGAAACACATTGTCGTATGATATTACTATAAATCTATACTTTAAGAATGAATAATGCAAAGATACTAGCAACGATACATGTTATTAACATATAACGCGACATGCCCAACTATTATTGGACATAATTAAATCGGTTCCTTAATAGTTTTTTTTTTTTTTTTTTTTTTTTTTTTTTTTGTATTGAAATTACAAAACCTTATTTAATAAAACTATTCTACTTTTTTTTTTTTTAACAAATTGCCATCAACAGTGCATGCAACTGCTGCCAATAGTTCGAGTGGGACGGAAGTTATCCAAGGGGGCTGTTCAGGGAGTGTTGTCAGCCAGTGGTATCGCCAGAGAACGGAAAAAGCGAGTCTGATTTTACTCAGTACCTCAGGTAAGAGGGTGATGAGGACCGCCCAGATTTCTTCGATTGAGTTTAGGTCTTGAAAGAGATCCAAAAACTGTACGGCTGCAGTCCAGTATTCTTGTTTCAGAGGACAATTCACTGCAAAGTGATAAAGATCCTCTTCAGCGTTATCACAAGTTCGACAAACAGCAGAAGGCCAACGGAATGGATTCCAGCGATGGAGTTTTTGTTGGATGCCTATGCAACCATGAAGAAGACGCCACCATGGGGTGAGTGCTTTGTGCGGCACTGGAATGGCCCAAAGCTCCCTCCACAGTTGAGATGGGAGATGCCAGCCTTGACCAGGAAGGGATTAGGGCACCCTGGGGCGCTGATGCATCCAAGAGCGATCAGAGTGCCATCGTCGACGCAAGTCACGTAGAGATGCTCGAGACAAAGGCATTGAAAGGGTGCTTGTCAGAGGAATAGACCAGTGGTAGCAATCAGGCAACCAGAACGACGTAGAGGCTGGTGCATATGCAAGGTCTTTAGGCGTGCTGCAAACCGCCTCCCGGGCGGAGACATTGATGGTCCCTTAATAGTTCTGTTTTCATATGATAATGTTACACGAACAGGCAACCAATCAAAACCCTCTATCACCGTCTTCGACAAGACATGAGTCGCCTGCATCTACCAGGCCAACAACATCAGCTGAACTGTAGAGAACATTCACAGCCTACACAATAAACTCTCGAGGAGCTAATATTACCGTATTTGAGAATGAAGAAGCAAAAGCAGCTGTTAGAGATCGCAGACAGGGCCAGCTCTGGGCACAATCTAATGAAATGAATAGTGTGATCTTCGACCTGAAACAACTTTCTGTTCTGCCTGCAGATTTCTATGAAGCTCTCGCCAATCAATACCCTGCCGCTATTGAGGCAGTTCCAGTGCGTCAGGGAGCCATTAATGGAGTTGTCATTACTTTTGATTCTGCAGAATCCTGCACAGCCACTTGGAGGTCTCACCGTAATCGGCACGCCTAAATTTCCTCCTACTAGCTCCATGTATTGAGTTTCGCTTGAAAAGTTACCTTTAATGAGACCAGACAGTTTAACCTCACTCCTGACTGAGGCGCCCTCTCGCTACGGCACAGTTCTCCATGTTGGCTTATATCACGACCCGGTTAGCCGTCTTTTCTTCGGTAAAGGGTATGCCTTTATCGATACCGCACCTGAGGATCGCACCGTACCCTCTCTCAGTCACGAAATTGATTTAACGAACCAACAACTTATCTACGCTTCGTGGAGAGGTATGGCACCTCATTGTTTTTACTGCCTTAAGCCTGGTCACACAAAAGGCAACTGTCCTCGTCTCTCTTAGCAACGTATTAAGACTTGTCACAGCTATGGAGATTTAGATCATTTGATTAGGGAGTGTCCCAAATGTAACGTAGCCACTGTGGGTGAGAAACACACCCTCTACGATGATCCTTTGCCTACCATACCCACGTCGACTTCATCATTGAATTTAGGTTCTTCATCCGCTCAGAACTCCTCATCACCAACTCCTATTGCATCTGTAGTATCTAAGTCTGTGCACCAATCTGACATTGAGCCTTCTAAGATGACAGCCAGCATCCAGAAAAACATTGTATGAACTAGGTCAAAGGCATCTGCCACTATCATTACTGCAGTTACCCCTGAGGAGGAGGATGATGCCGACGACACAGATTATGTTTCTTCCGATGGTCAATCAGAATCTGATGAGCCTGAGCACGATTCTGATGTTATGTCAATTGATTCACGAGAGACAAGATATCGAAGGCGATGCACGTCTTCTACAGAGTAGTTCTACTCCGGGCGCCACCCCACAGTCATATGGAGAAGCGGCTCATTCATCATCCACACGTCGATTATGAGAGATATCACACGTGTCTCTATAACCTCGCTTAATTGTCGAAGTCTTAAAAAATCCTCTCTCTAGAAGAGAAATTATTTGCCCGTTATATTCGTTCCTTAGAAACCGACATTATAGCCTTACAAGAAACTCATGTGATTCCTTCGGCCTTCATTCTCAATTCGAATTGTGCTTTTAGACTTACTCAGCCACATGGACTCACCACCGTGGCCTAATTTCTTTAAATCGTTAGCTAGCGATTGAGCCACGCTGGTCCTCTGTAGGCAGACGGCTCCTCGTCGCTCAAGTCACAGATTTATCAGGGGCGTATGGCCCTCTTCGTATTTATGTCCTCTATGTTCCTACGCATCCTCCAGATAGCCCCGTTTTCTTTCACTCTTTAAACTCCATACTACGCTTTGATGATGCACCTCCACAACGTGCTGTTCTACTAGGAGATTTTAACCACAACATCCATCTTCCAATGACGCACCAGTTACCTCAACCTTGGAAAGAATGGCTGCATTTATTCTGGCACGACACCTTTCTCAGCGACCCCAATCAATACTGTCTGCCTACCTTTGGTACCATCTCAATAATCGATTTCATCCTGGTAACAAGCGATCTGCAGCGCCTCACCACTTATCCACATCTTGCTTATGTCAAAGGCTGCGATCACTCAGCACTCACGATCTGTCTCGCTATGGGTTCTGTGAAAGTGGGTCCTGGCATATGGTGTTGTAACCCCTCCTTGAGGGTAATCGTAAATTCTGCTCAGAACTAACTGCTTTTTGCTCTAGTGCTGAACGATATTTGCCTGCTGGTAATGCTCCTCAGTGATGGGACCACTTCAAAGTGATCCTTAAGGGTTTCATACAATCTTTCTCCAACAAGCAACAGGCCAGTCGTCGCCATGCCGTTAACTCCTTTCAGTGATGTCGATAACAGCTTCTGCGGAGAACAATAGACCCCTCAACATCAGCTGTGATTGCTGCTGTAGAGCTTGAGCTGGGCAAATACTACCAAGATAGCGTCTCGATCCTAGCTTTGCGATCTGAACATAAGTGGCGCGAGCTAGGGAACGCTCTAATGCCTATTTTTACAAATGTCTAAAAGACCGCCAACAACAACAGGCAATTTCCGAATTGGTCGCAGATGACGGTACTATATCATCGACGCCAGAAGAACTAACCAACTGTGCAAAAGGCTTCTATAGTCAACATTACTCTACCGAACAAGTATCTCTTCAAGCAACTGATTTTTTGTTATCTCAACGCCCGGACACTGCTCGACTTGATGATTCACAGCAAATACTTCTCCTTATTGAATGGACTGTTGAAGAGGGTCGAGGCATGCCTCGCTCACACACCTTCTCACAGTAGTCCCGGAATCGATGGCTTGCCGTACGAAGTTCTACGGTCCCTTTTCCAGCAACCATTTTGTCGTAGTTCATTCTGTGATGTGTTAAACACTGCACTAACTGAACACCTTTTCCCGGCTACATGGCAACGCTCAGTGATAACTTTGTTGCCAAAGAAAGGAGACCGGCGACATTTGAAGAACTGGCGTCCAATTTCACTCATTTGTGCTGATGCCAAGGTGTTTACACGCCTTTTGGCAAACCGACTTGGGGGCATCGTGCCAGACCTTCTACTACCACACCAGACAGGATTTCTCGCCGAAAGATTCATCGCTGACAATGGACATTGCACGTCGTTATCATTTACCAGGCATTGCTCTTATTCTCGATCAGGAGAAAGCATACGATCGTGTGCATCCGGCTTATCTATGCGCTTGCCTTCTCCGGTTTGGTTTCCCTACCCAGTTCGTCGACTGTATCACCTCATTATTCTTCAGCACATCCTTATGTGTTAAGGTGAACGGTTTTCTCTCTACTGCTTTTACACAAGAACGGGGTCTGAGGCAGGGTGACCCTCTATCGCCTTTTTTCTTTAACTTGGCTTTGGAACCCTTTCTCCGTGCGATTCACTCGTGTCCTCTGTTACCAGGCTTCTTGTCCCATAACCCAGCTCTCAGTCAAATACCACGGCTTATTGGTTGACCACCTATTCTTAAACTGCTTGCAAACGCTGATGATGTTTTGGTGTTTCTAAAAGACCCGATAAAATTAACCTCTCTGTTTGCTCTCATTAGCACATACGAGTTAGCTTCAAATGCTAAGCTCAACCTAGACAAGTCTATCGCCGTTTCCTTATCTGGACAAGTCCAACCTCTCTGGTGCAGTTGTCTCCAGCATCGGGGTATAACGCATCGGCATGATTTTAACAACCATGTGACGGCCGTCTATCTTGGCTTTCTGCTGACTGGCTCTTCCACACATATGGTGACTTTTTTAGACGAATTGCTTGGTTCCACTCGATTGATTGCTCATCGTCTTACCTTACGGAGACTCTCGATTCAAGGGCGCGGCTTAGCCAATACGTTGATACTCAGCAGAATATGGCACTGTCTACGTGTCCTCACTGTACCTGCTTATTTTCTCGCCGAGATTCATTCAATAATTGACCAATTCATCAATTCCAAATCCTTTCCGAAGGTCAGCTTTGACATTTGTCGATGCCCGCGAAAGGAGGGCGGTTTAGCGGTTCTGAATCCAGCTACCCAACTTCATGCACTTCAGTTACGTCGGCTCCGATCACTCGTCCAGCCTGACGCGGAATCAAATTACAATCATTCTTTTGCCCTACAAGCGTTACAATACTGCTTATGTAGTTTCTCTGACAGCCCCAGTCCTATTCTGCCTTTGGCCTTTGTAGAATTACGTTCGTCGGATGTAAAAGCAATGGGTTGCTGCAAGCTCCTATTTCAAGTAGTAGACATGCTGGATTTCTCTGTTAACTGGGAGGCGGTGAATATATCGGTGGTCTTAGAAACTCCGGCTTCGCGGATATACTTCGATTTGCCGACTTGGAAATGTCGTGGTCTCCAAACAAACTAGGACCAACTGCGGATGAAGGGTGCCTTCGAATATAGCCCAATTCACAACTGCTTGAGACAAAGACCTCGCTTGTCAAACACGAGGTTTAAACATCGAGTAAGCCGATTTCATTCCTGGTTAGCAGATGGCCAGAATCCAGTACATTCCTCCATTGCAACCTTGTTCACACCGCACAACCTCAGACCAGACAGCCAATTCCAGTATACGCTCTATCGAATGCCTCAGCCTAACTTTGAAGATCTACTGATGGTAGAACTACCAGGAACAATGGGTTTCCATCATATATCACTCAAGCTATTCCGGACCTCACAGTTACTCCCCACTGATGCCTTATCGGCCCACTATCCGCGTGGCCCTGCTACGGCATGGCGCGCCTTCTGGTTATCTTCCTTCCACACCAGACGCACACCGTGCTCTGGAGATACTACCATCGTAAATTGCCAACACGCCAGCACCTCCACCAGCTTTGTCAGAATCGGCACTTCGGCCCTTACTGTCTTCTATGTGGAGGCGTTGAAGATTATGAGCACTTGTGATCTTGCATGCTCAAAAAAGAAACTTGGTCACGCATTGCAAATCGCTTTTTACAACCCACTGCGAGATTTGCCTATGAATCACTGGACTTAGACTCGTCTACATCTATACAAGCACTTTTAGGACTACATGTTGTTGGCCAAACAATCATTGCCTGTACGGTCTGGGCTATCTAGTGGTGTCATTGGCGTTTTGTATTTGATGGTTGTACCTTCTGGCCCGATGAAGCTGCTGCACTAGCAACATAAGAAATCAAACGAATACATGATGAAAACATTCATAGAGAGCGCCTAAAATCATCTCGCTCGGGTTAATACAACTCTTTTTTTTTGTTTTCTTTCATGCTCCTATACTCTTTATTATTTTCTTTAATAAGTACAAGCCGATTGGCGATACTTGAATAAAAAAAAAAAAAAAAAAAAAAAAAAAAAACTGTTTTCATATAAAATGACGCTGTTTGTAATATTGGGTTCTCTCTCGTCTTGATCTTAATAAGGAGGTTATATAGAGACTCATTAATTAATATTTCTCTTGTAATTTTCCATTGTTCTGATCAATACTTCACACATGCTAAATCTACTCATATCCAGAACTTATTCCATATGCAGTTCCAAATTGTTAGCAGCGTATGATCTGAGCACTGTGGTTTAATTTGCTTATCTAACGATTTCTCCTTATTGAATACGTGTATCAGCATATGTGGTCGCATCACTACGATCACTATCTCCCATAAAGCGAATTCCTTCGAACCTGTAACACTGTCAGTTATCTATGCGCTTACGCAGCGCTCATAACGCATGGCCTTCCTTTCTGAACTTGTTGATAGAGGTCAAGCGCCGCTCTTCCCGGCTGTTCCACAACGCCACATTCTCCTGGAGAATCTTAGTTATTCTTATTGCTCTCCTCTTTCCTCGAAGCAACGACGCCCCCAAGCTCCAGTTCCATGGCTGCCTCATATCTCTTCTCGTTATTTTGATGATTTAACGGCAAAGGATGAGATGTCTCAGCTGGAGCTCCACAGAAATACTCAATAATCTTGCATTGGTTACATTTTTCTGTTCAACGATCTCGCCTATCCAGGTTTGCCGAGTCAACTCACATACATTCAGCCTGCTTGGACGGGTCATCTCACGTTGTCTGCGCGACTACCTTTGTGTTCTCTCACAGGCACTAATAGTAAAGCAACCAGAGGTAAAGGGATATGGCGTGCTCATTCTCATCTCGCCTCCGATGCTGCCTTCCATGAAAAAATTGACTCTGGGATCACTCACCTTGTCTTCACTCTTGATCCTCAAATGCCTGCGCAATTGAAGTGAAAAGAGTTAAAAGCAGTGATCTGTCGCATTGCTAAGCGCCACTCACGAAAGCAGGCTTATTCGCTATCAAAGGCGGAGCAGCTTCTCCAATATAAGCGAGCAGGTCTTGTTAAGAAAATTGAAGAACAGCCTAACAATGCTAACATTTCCCAACCACAACCCACTGTCATAGAACACCAGTTGTCCGATCTTCAGCAATATCACACCGAGACACTGGCCGTCCGAGCAAGTGTCCGTTGTCGAGAGCTGGGCGAACTCTTCCCAGGCTATTTGGAACGGACAGTGGCAACACGCTCAACATGCACACTCATTCCACTGCTTCTGCATCCAATTAGTCAACCTATCAATACCACAAAAGACGAGATGCTCGATGTTGCCGCTACTTTTGTTATAATACTAAAAGTAATGAGAGACGGTAAGATACAGTAAGACTGAATTAATCCTTTTTACTGATAAAGAGTGGTTCTTATTTATACTATTCAAGTTTACTGTGGGATTATAGTTGACGTGAGTCTAACAGTTGTTCTAGGATAAAGTAGCTTAATTAAAGATTTCCTAATTTTATTACTGTGATATCTAAATCAAGAAATGACGTTATGTACTAGTAAGTGTTATTGTAAGGGTAATTTTCTTAGTTTCAATAAGCGTGAATTATGTTCGGATACGACAACCTTTTACACTAGCCTGTACTCCTCAACGTCACCCGATCAATGCACCATTGGTGAGCTATTAGGGTCTTTGCCTGACACTCTACGCTTGCCATTGACAGAACAGCAGATAATGGTGGCACCCATCACGTTTGATGACATCCTACAGTGTGTGTCGCGTTGCCCCAAGACCAGCAGCCCGGGCTCTGACGGTTTATCTTATGGAGTTTTACGGCTGATTATCTCCCATCCAGCGTGTCGAGAACTTTCCCTAGCAGCCTTCAACTCTGCTCTAACGGATGGCATGTTTCCATCCTCTTGGTAGGAAGCAACGGCACCTTTATTATCAAAAAAAGGGAATCTTCCAGATCTGCGAAATTGGTGTCCTATCTTTCCAATCAACGCGGACGCTAAAGTTTATACCCGTATTCTTAACAGTCGTATGATTAAAAGTATTATTCATCTTTTCACACCGCTCCAAACAGGCTTCGTTCGCGGTCGTTTTATTGTCGACAATGGTCTGTTACTCAAGATGATCGTGGTCCACGCTCAAGGCACTCGTTCATCTGCAGTTGGCTTTCTGCTCGATCAATAAAAACGTATCACTGTGTTCATCCAGATTATCTGACATAGGCTCTTACAAGATTTGGTTTCCCGTCCACTATCGTCCAGTGCTTGTCTGCTTTGTTTTTTTGGCACAACCTTACGGTTGAATGTCAATGGATTTCTGTCTCCAGGTGTCTTACAAAAACAAGGTCTACGCCAGGGCAAACCTATCTCGCTGATGCTATTTATTCTTGTTTTTGAGCCGCTAATCCGTAGTTTGTTGTTGCACGATCAAAGCATCCGTGGAATTGTCTTGTCCCGCTCCTCTTTGTCGTTTCCGGCCGATGTTAACTTACAACCGATCAAACTTTTTGCGTATGCAGATGACGTTGTGTGTCTACTAAGAAATCCGGCAGATATGTCTCGACTACAACATCGCCTGTCTACTTACTCAGCTGCGTCAAATGCGAAAATAAATTATCATAAAACTGTGGTTATCTCGCTCTCAGGTGTACGACTGTTTTCTTCTGTTTAACGTCCACATCTGTTGGCCAACCACATCGCCCAATGGCATGACTGTTCCTCTTCCGTACTGGTATCTCGGTTTTCCTATATACGCATCCGCTTCTCAGCGCGATGCTTTTCTAGAAGATTTGCTTCAGCATATCACACAAAGCTGTCGTGTACACTCGCAATGATCGTTATCTGTATGTGGTTGGGTTACCGTACTTAGCAATTTAATTCTGTCCAAGCTGTGGCATGTCCTGAGGTTAACATCGGCGCTGATACACTTCTTGACCAAAATCAAATTCCTCGTGCTCTCCTTTTTGACATACAGGTTGTTTCCCAAGCTAAGTATCGAAATCATGTGCTTACTACGTAAGGCCGGTGGACTGGGAGTCCTGGACCCTTCTGCGCAGTAGGGTGTATTACAATTACACTGACTTCTCCCTCTTCTACATGATGCGCCGGCTGGATCATTGTCTCTCTTCTGGTGCTCTTCCTTAATCAGTAAATCATCAGTTGTTCCTCGCATCGCCGAATACATACTCCTTCACTTACAAGCTGTAGCAATTTCGTCATCATCCACGTGGCCATTTGAGGATTATCGCTTGTCACTCCTCTTTTGCGATCTTCGACCTCTCAAACTTTGGTCCCTAAACAGCTCATTTTACTATTTCGCGTAACGGAACTTCTTCCTTCGGATTTCTCGGACGTGGTAACCAATGGCCCAGCGTGCCTCCAACTACCTATTTCAGCAGTTCCTAAGGATAAGCCTTCAGTACATCTAAGCCGATCCTTATCATAGCTTCGCCTTGCGTTGGCCTATACTCAAGATACCGCCACCAAACCTGTACGAGCACGACAAAATAACGAATTTCACTTACATCTTATTCTTGCTTGAAAGTTCCTTCGACTAGTGCGTACTAATATCCTCCTTTTGACAGCCTTTTTAGTGCGTCTGTTCATCCTTCCTCAATATACTCAGCTAGGACCTAAGCATTTCTCGCCAGACGCCTCACCTTTCCTAACAGCCATACAGCTGTTCCCTGATCCTCCCGTTCCTGCTCTCAACAAGAAAGCATTCTGTTAACTATGTCGCTCAGACTTCGGCAGGTCCTACAGCCCCTACGATACCATATTCTGTCTGGCCTTCGTTTTGGAAATTTCCATTGTCTCACTCCATCAGCAACGTGTGGTATCGAATTTTACATCACAAAATTCCTTGTCGAGCCTTCTTACATGGTATTATGCCAGAGGCCTTTTCTTCCTCAAGATATGACCTCTGTGGTCAGTTAGAAGAAAACATTGAGCACTTTCTATACCAATGTCCGTTGAAACTGACAGTTTGGCAGGATATATGGGAAGAACACTTCTCTGAAATTAGTGTGTTTTCCCTTTTTTTCTCATGCCGTTCTTTGTTTACTCTTTTGAAAATGTATCAAAGCCCATTTTACAATAGAAAGCTGTTTATCGACCGTGATGTGTTTCAGATTAAATGCTTGTTTAAAGAACGATAAAGACTGACTGACTCACTTTAGTCTTATTATCATCAGTTTCCTTATTCTTTCACTATTGCAAAAATAGACATCACAGAGTCCCTTCAGCTATTAACAACAGAGTCTCAGTTGGATGGGTGTGTTGTAGAACAATATCTGCTTATGGCTGGCATTGAGATACACGACTGTAATCAGTATGAATAGAGTGAATTTACACATTTTTAGTGATAAGTCAAATTAAATGGAATCTCTCCTTTGAATATGAATCACTACTTCTTTATATAAAAGGATACACTTCTTTCAGATAATCCTTCTTATGGTAACCGCAGCCACAAATCTAGATCATGAAATAAACAATAAGATCAGTATCGGGGACGAATTAAAAAGTTTTCTTTATGAACTCAGGAACTGTCAGTCAATCATATTCTCAGTAATAATAATCCGTTTGGAATAGGGGTTTACCGGTCAGTTGATAATAACTATATATAACAGATCATTAATTTATTTGCATGTTCCTATTGTCTTTATCTCAGAATACAAATTAGTCTTAAAGAGTACTTTTGCCTTTGTTTTGTGCTCTATAAACCATTACATAACAGAGTGAATAACCAGTTATATTTTTATAGATTAACCCATGATTATATACAATAAATTTTATATATGACATTCTACTTGTGAAGAAGGTCACTTTAAAAAAGTATTTATGGATGATATCAGTAAGAGAGATGTACATGATCGTCATCGTATATTAAATGCCTTGACAGTGATGTATTATAGGATAAGAGCTTTTCTTTCATTTTGCAATCTTTTTTTTAAGATTGCCTGAAGCTTTTAGTATCACTTGAACTATTAGTGTGTTTTGCATTAGGAACTCAAACACGCGCGTAAAGACAGTTTGGAAGCATTCAATAAAAACGAAATCTTGATCAAGAAACATTTTTGAAAGTCAGTGTGTGCTTAATCTATTGTTAGTAAAATGATAAACTAAAATAGATAAACCTCCATTTGCTAAGACGGAAGACAGATTAATTTTTAATCTCCGGAAAGCACCAAAAAAAAAATTTGTGCCTAATCTTCTACAATCTCCGCTTTTTGAAAGGTAAATTAAATTTTGAGCTACACAAGAAAGGTAGAATTTGCAGTGATATAGAAAGGCAATCTCTGCTGAAGTATAATCGAAAATTGAAAAATAAGAACTATACAAATTGATAAATATCTCTCATATTTGATGAGTTAAACTTTTTAGCAAAGCAAACACCTCGCTTGATATGCCATCAAGTGTATGTTAAAGGTCAATAGAAAGGAAAGAAAAGAGTCTATGATCAGTTTCAAGGATGAAAAGAAAAGATATACATCATATACTTCTCTCTTTTTTCTCTTTCTCTTCTTCCAAGCATCTTCTCCTTACCCTGTTTTTTTTTTATATTCTGTATTCCATTCTAATAAAACATCAGCTCCTTTTACATTTATGTTATAAAAATGTGGTCTGTTTCACGAAACGTAAATAACCATATCATCATGGAAACAAACGATCCTTGACTGACCATGCTAAAACTAATAGTTTGGGGATTCAAAATGGATAAAGGCGATATTGATTTCGATCGTTTTACAAGCAGTATTAGCCATAA